GAGAAAGAAATTTTTAACATTAAAGGGCTATATTGGGAAATGAGAAAAGTTTCAAACCAATAACCTCAGCTTCTACCTTGGGAAATTAGACAAAAGAGCAAATGAAAAATCAAAGTAAGTTGAAGAAAGGAAATAAAGATCAGAACAGAAACCAATGAAATAAAAGCCAAAGAAAAGAAAAAAAAAGAGAAAATTAAGTAGGACAGAAATTGGTGCCACTGTATCTCTATGTTTTAGCATGGAACAACTGAAAGTCAATATTTTAAAGCAATATCCTTTGTAATGGCATAAAAAATTAGGAAATATGTAGGATAAATCTGACGAAAGGTACCAAAGACCTGTACATTGAAAACTAGAAAATATTGATGAGAGAAATGAAAGACCTAAATAAGTGGATCAAAAACTTTATATAAAGATGTCAATTCTCCCAAACTGATCTATAGATTCAATGCAGTGCCAAAGTGCCACCAGGCTTTGTTTTGTAGAAATTAATGAGCTGATTCTAAAATTCATATGGCAGGTAATGCAAAGGACCTAAATAGTCAAAACAACTTTGTAAAAGAAAAAAAGTGGAGGGAACCTGGGTGGCTCAGTGGTTGAGCGTCTGCCTTCAGCTCACAGTGTGGTTCTAGAGTCCTAGGATGGAGTCCCACATCAGGCTCCTCTCCAGGACCCTACTTCTCCCAGTTCCTATGTCTCTGCTTATCTCTGTGTCTCTCATGAATAAATAAATAAAATCTTTAAAAAAATGAAAAAAGATGGAAAGCTTATACTGTGTGACTTCAACACTTATAAATCTACAGTGATCAAAACAGGGTATTACTGGAATCAAGATGGAGATGAATGTAACAGCTGAAATCCAGAAATAAAACATATATATATATATATATACACAATTGATTTCCAACAAAGGTGCAAAATACAGTTCAATAGAGAAAGGATAGTCTTTGTAACAAATGGTCCTGAGCAATTCTATATGCCTCTGCACTTTCTCCAAAGACAGGGAACTTAAATCCATACATTGTACTTGCAGCATATACAAAAATTAAATCAAAATGGGTAATAAACATAACATGTAGTATCTAAAACTATGAAACTTCTAAAAAACTAGGAGGAAATCTTCATAACTTTAGATTGGACAAGGATTTCTTACACACCAAAAGACATAATGCATTAATGAAAAAAAAAGATAAAATTATACTTCATGAAAATAAGAAATTCTGCACTTTGAAAGATACTGCCAAGAGAATGGAAAACCCAGCAATGGGGTGAGAAAAAATATTTACACATCAATTATCCCATAAAGGACTTAAATCTAGAATAAAGAATTTTCAAAACTTAGTAAGAAAACAATCCAATAAAAACTTGGAAAATAATTTGAACATATTTTATCTAAAGAGGATATATGTATGGCAAATAAAAACATGAAATGGTTCTTAAGAGCTCATAGGGAAAAACAAATTAACACCATAAAATACAACTATTAGAATGGCTAAAATTAAAATAAAACAAAAACTGTTCAAACAAAACCACAATGAGATACTAATGACTACTATCAAAAAGAAAGACTCAAGTATTGGCAAAGATGTAGAGGAAGTGGATCTCTCACACACTGCTAATGGAAATGTAAAAGACACAATCCCTTTGTAGTACAGTTATGTAATTTTTTTTTTATTTATTCATGAGAGACACACACAGAGAGAAAGAGAGGCAGAGACACAGGCAGAGGGAGAAGCAGACACCATGCAGGGAGCCTGACATGGGACTCCATCCCAGGGTCTCCAGGATCACGCCCTGGGCTGCAGACGGCACTAAACCGCTGTGCCACCAGGGATGGCCAGTTATGTAATTTTTAAAAATTAAGTACCATACCTACCATATGACCCAGCCATTCCACTCTAGGTGTTTACAAAAAAGAAATGAAAGCACACGAACAAAGACTTTTTTTAAAAAAAGATTTTATTTATTTATTCATGACAGACACAGAGAGAAAGGCACAGACACAGGCAGAGGGAGAAGCAGGCTCCATGCAGGGAGCCTGATGTGGGACTCACTCGATCCCGGGTCTCAAGGATCAGGCCCTGGACTGAAGGCGGTGCTAAACCGCTGAGCCACCCAGGCTGCCCCACACAAAGGCTTCTGAGCAAATATTCAAAATAGTCCCAAACTGGAAGCAACTCACATGTCCACCAGCAGGTGAATGAATAAACAAATTGTGGAATACTCATACAATGGAATATGATTTAGTAATAAAAAAGGATGAGGGATCCCTGGGTGGCGCAGCGGTTTAGCGCCTGCCTTTGGCCCAGGGCGCGATCCTGGAGACCCAGGATCGAATCCCACATCAGGCTCCCGGTGCATGGAGCCTGCTTCTCCCTCTGCCTATGTCTCTGCCTCTCTCTCTCTCTCTCTCTATCATAAATAAATAAAAAATTAAAAAAAAAAAAGGATGAATTAAAGATACACACAATATATGAGGAGATCTCAAGTTATGCTGAGTAAAAGCCAGACAAAAATGAGTATACCTTGTAGGATTCCATTTGTATAGAATTACAGACTATGCAAGATAACCTAGAGTGACAAAAAGCAGAAAAATTGTCTTCTAGAGACAGGAATGGGTCCAGGGGACCTAGGAAGACCTGGAGGGATTACCAAGGGGCCTGAAAACACTTTTTGAGGTGATAGATTTTATTTGAGAGAGAGCACGAGCAGCAGGGAGAGGCAGAGGGAGAAGGCTCTCCGTTGAGCAGGGAGCCCCACATGGGGCTTTATCCCACGACCCTGGAACCATGACCCAAGCCAAGGGAAGATGATTAACTGAGCCATCCAGGTACCCTGCTTATTTTGGTTATTGTGATGGAATCATCATGAGTATATATATGTCAAAAATTATCAAATTGCACACTTAAAAATAGTTAAAAGTAATTCATTAATAGAGTATGTGAGAAATAGCATGTTTGTATACTAATGGGAATGATTCATTTTAGGGGAAAAACTGAAAATGCAGGTGTTGGTAACTCTGGAAACATGTCTTTTAGTAGGCATCTATTGTGCTGAGGATGTTGGCTAGGAATACAGACATAGACCTTTATATTCTCAACAATTATCTTTTTTTTTTAATTTTTATTTATTTATGATAGTCACACAGAGAGAGAGAGAGAGAGAGAGAGGCAGAGACACAGGCAGAGGGAGAAGCAGGCTCCATGCACCGGGAGCCCGATGTGGGACTCGATCCCCGGTCTCCAGGATCGTGCCCTGGGCCAAAGGCAGGTGCCAAACCACTGCGCCACCCAGGGATCCCCTCTCAACAGTTATCTTAAAACATAGTCCTAGAAATTAACTATCAAACTGTAGGAACATTTAGCCCATTTTATATACAATTAGATAAAAGAAGCATGAGCCTATGTGTGGCTTCAAACCTACTGGAGTTCCAGGTAGCTACTTCAGGTCTTACTCACACTCAAGTTCCCTGACTGACCTGTACCACCTGACCACAGTACCACTGTGACTCTGCTTGGCACAGGGATTAGAAAATACCAAAAGGTTTTTGGCAGTCGGGATGAGATGCATGAGAGAAAGCCTTCAGATGAGTCTGGCCTCGGCCATCGTCTAGCTGTGACTGAAGCGTCCCTCCTGAGGGCAGCTGAGTGTCTTCAGATACAAGAGAGACATGACATTGTTTAAAACCATTAAGGTTTGGAGTGGTTTGTGATGCAGTAATTACCTCCACAGTACATACATGTATTTAGGACAAACTGATAGGCTTTCACCTGAGTGAGTGAGTTCTCTTTGGGGACCTTTCAGTGTTGTGCTTCATTTGACCAAATCTTTGAAAGCAAAAACATTTTTTGTGATCCAACCTATCTTTCTCCTTTGCTTCAATATTAAATACCCAGGAGAGGCACTCAATAAATGCAAAATTAATATGGTATCTCATGATAATTAGTAAAGAAAACTTATATATATCTTTCTGACAGTAAAATGAGCACTCTTCGGACTTTTTTTTTTTTTTTTTTAAGATTTTATTTATTCAAGGGATGCCTGGGTGACTCAGTGGTTGAGCATCTGCCTTTGGCTCAGGGCGTGACCCAGGATCCGGGACCAGATCCCATATTGGGCTCCCTGCATGGAGCCTGCTTCTCCCTCTGCCTGTGTCTCTGCCTCTCTGTGGCTCTCATGAATAAATAAATAAAATCTTAAAAAAAAAAATTTTTTTTATTTATTGCAGAGTGCCCAAGCAGGGGGAGTGGCAAAGGGAGAGGGAGAAGCAGGGTCCCTTCTGAGCAGGGAGCCCGACATCCTGGAACTTGATCCTGGGGCTCTGGGATCTTGACCTGAGCCTAAGGCAGCTGCTTAACCGACTGAGCCACCCAGGTGTCTCTGCATAATTTTTTTTTCTTTTTAATTTAACCTCGGTGCTAACTTCATTTTGAAATTACTTAGGTGATTATTTTAATGTAAATATAATCAATTTCCACAGTGCTACTGCCATTTTACTCAACACTGAAAATGTCATATTTCAGTAATGTTTAGGGTGGAGATGGGGAAAAGGGTGAATTATAAGGGTGTGGGGAAAAGGGTGAATTATAAGGGTGTGCAAGGAAAAGGAGTCCTAATCACCTAAATAGGAAGCTCCAACAATAATGCTTTATATTGTTAAAGAATGCAACTTCTCTCCCATTGGTTCTTGCTGTACAGTCTGTACTGAGACTGACTGTGTTCCCATGGTAACTGTAAGAGGGGAGAAGCCATGTTTAGCTTTTATCCGTTAAGAACTTTGGATAATCAGCTTACAACTATTAAGTACCAGCCTAAATCAAAACAAAATCTATGATACGTACTGGGGAAAAAACCTCAAAGAATATACCTGATTTACAATAAATCAGTGTTTAAATTGATAGGACACCATAGCAAGTGCCAAAGGCAAGGGGATGAATATGATTAGACAATTATTAAATGTGTTTGACACAGTTTAAGAGCAGTAAAAAAAAAAAACTACATTGAATTTTTATACAAGTCTTTATTTACAACTTGTTTAACAACTGTACACTTTTTGCAGCCTTGAAAACATTTTTGTACTTGAATGGGAAAATATAGTTTGACCAAATCTTAACTTTATTCTTCATATACATATATTATATGCATACATATAAACATACACATATAATTAATACCATAACAAGTTGGCAGTCATAAAATTAAAATGAATAAGTGATATCAAAAGGAAATATAAGATTTCAAAAAAATTAAAAATCTGTCTTTTGGTGGTTATTGGACCTTATGTTTTTGTGATTTAGTGAAAATTTCTTACTGAGGCTAACAAGTCATTCACCTTGGAAAACCAGTTAAGAAAACCCACCAATCTGATATACAGTAAATGGTTGGTAAACTTGGTAAACACATGGAAAAATCCTTGGATGCTATTATGTACAATGTTGCTATTTCTGTATTGATTCCATTTGTGAAGTGAGAAATTTAGAGTCCTAAGGGGATTTCATTTTTGGATTACATTGACAAAGAATGAAGTCATTAAATTATAAATTCAATAGTCAACCAGAAATAAGAATACAGCTAGTAATACCCTTTTTGTAAAAGCTAAGCTGCAAGGTGGATAACTAGGATGCCAAATAGGAAACTAACAACAATTCATAGAACAATCAATAATACTTAAGACATGAGTATAAGGCTTTAGAGCTGGGACTGTAATCAATACAACTCCAACTCTAATGTACTAAGGTGTTTTCCAGCTCATCTGAAAAGTGTAAAAAATACTTAAGGAAAAAAAAAGCCTTTTTCTATCTTCAAATCTTTGACAGAATTTATTAATCAAAATAAGGCAAATTATTAAATTATTAGGTATGTTTGAATTTTACCATTTATTACACAACCAAAAATTGGGTGTATAAATGGTGGGGCAATTGTTAAAACATGAAAACTTGCCAAACAAGATAAACCCACAAATTATTCCTCTAAGTGCAAAGCATTCTGAATTATACATAACCTGTACACAGCAAAGTTAGTAACGGCAATGACATTTTAGTGCATCTAAATTTTAAATAACTAAGGTTATTAAAAAACAAAAGGCTACTATTAAAACAATTTTGAAGGCCTTAAATCATTGATTGGCATTTGTGTACAGTCATTTCCTGTATTTATATTAAAATACTATTTATTTCAAGCATAATGAAAATTTCCCTTAACTAACATGAGTCTCTGTGATACACACATTAAATTAGGCCAACAAGAAAAAAAAAAAACACACCAAAACCCTCAAATCACACCTTTTACCCAGCTGTACTGAACAATAAGAATTTCATAATTTGCTTGGAATTTGACACTACTGGGTTGAGTCTGTTGCCTGATTTAAAACATTTAAAAAAGGAGAGGAAAGCATCCTGACTTCCTAACGATAGTTTTAGTATTTAACTAAGCACCTAGCTGACTCAAGAGAATTATGATTAGTCTCTTTATTTTCATTTAAAAATTTAAAGATGCATCCATATACATCCTTTTCATTATGTTAAGAAGTAAATACTAAAAGGTTTCATTGAGTCACCAGAATAAAATGCTTGCCTCATACATGAAACTGAATGTGATTTATAATCCAAGTTATTAAGAGCAAGAAACTATGAAGAACCCCCCCCGCCAAAAAAAAAGAAAACCCAAGAAATAATTTGGATCCTGATGTACCTTTAAGGGAGAGATAAACAAAAAAAACTTTTCCACTTTCATTAGATCTATATATAATTAAAAAAACAGAAGAGAAGGATAAATGTTTAACAGTTTTTATTTGTAAATAAAGAATTCACTGGTTTCTGTTCTACCTGCAGATGAACTATGTATCATCAATTTGAAAAGACTACAAAAAAGGGGGAAAAAGCCTGAAGATACTGTTAAGATTTATAAAATGATTTAATTATGTTACTTGAAAAGTAAAGTGCTGAGCATCCGTTTAAAAATATATTGAAAACTAATTTCAAAGAATGGGGTTCTGATTATTCCAATGACTTTAAAAAGGGCTGTATTAATTTTTATATGAAAAACCATTTTCTTCAACTATGGCAGTAGAATCTAAGAGTTTATAAGTTAATTGAATACTTTTATTTTGTCCCTATTTTCTCTTTGGGCATTGTAAAAAAACCATTTTCTGCAATGATGGAAATGTTCTGTATTTATGTGTCCAAAATGGTAACCACTGTCCATGTGTGGCCCTTAGCACTGGACGTGTGGTTAGGTGACTGAAGAACCACAGTTTGAATTTTATTAAATTTAAATCATCATATGCTAGTGGCTAATAAATCGGACAATGTAGGTATAGAATCTAGTCTTATCTAAATTAGCAAAAAGACACTGGATGATAAAGACACTTAGAAGGTAACTTATCCATCCACCAACTAATTAGTAGATATTCAAAACATTACATTTTGCTTCTGTATATTTCATTTTTAATTTTTTACTTTGGGGGGAAAAAGCAGCTCTTCCCTCAAAGGTCAGGGTCTAGACTTCTCTATTTCAGTGTTGCTTTCTTCTAGGTAACTTAAGCAAAGAGCATCAGTAGAACAGGAGGTAATGCAGAAGAAAATACTACAGAAACTTTCCATACTACAAAAGCATTTCTCTCATGTAAAAGCACAAAAACAAAACTCTAAGAGAAAGTTCTTATGCGCAAACCTCCCTATTCTTTGGCGGTAATCATGTGTCAATGGTTACCTAACAAATATTTCAATTACTTTTGGACTATGATTCAAATATTAATATATTCAAGTTACAAATGGAAGAGTCCTGACTCTTAGAGACATATCTTAATAGAACAAGCTGAAAACTGCCATATTTGAACTTAAGAATAGCCAAGTTCATTAAGCTCATCTGTTATAGCAGAATGAAGAATATTTCTGGAGCATTCTGCAATCTGTACTGACTGCCTTTTCCCATCAGCTAACCCCCACCATTTCTTAGATTCTCTGACTTTAGAGCTCCTGGAACCTGGCTTGCTTTCTCCTGTCTTTGGGGCTAGGCAATAATGAAGAACTATGAAAGAAAGCGAAGGGCAACTCATATGTCTGTATTTTAGGAGACAGGCGAACCAAAAGTAAGAACATCTGATTAACTAGAAGACTGTTTATTTTGTATTAATGCAACTCCAGAAAACAGAAAGTTTCAAGTGTATTGGCATTTAAGAGAACTTGGCTTCATGAGTATTGACTTGAAAAGAGTCTTATTAATGTGAAATATAAAATGTAATTGATGCCTAGTAGGCCCAAAGCAGCTTCAAATAGGTCTCTAGACTTATATTTTCAGATCCCACTCTAGATATTTCAGGAAGAGTACAGAGCCCATTTCTCTGGGTGATCTGTTACACTTTTCTTAGTGAGTGCTCCAACATAAGGAATAAAAGATACAAGTTGAAAATGCCACAAAAAAGTAGAAGAAAAATAATGATCTAATATTAGTAAAGTGCTGTGAGTCTTGTGGTAAAGTATAAATAATACATAAATGAATAGATGTAACAGTAAATAATATTAAGACACTCATCTCTAATAGTGACATATATAAACATACTATAGAATATATATACAGTAACCACTGCCCATAGGTTGACAATACAGCAAGAATAAACATGAGTCCCTTTTATTAATTTTGACAATATAACTGCTAAACTAATTATTTTCCTTTGTCAACTTAGAGATCTCTTAAGTGATAACACCTGTTCAGAAGTCTCCCACACACATTAAAGCCACACATGCTTTGGTAGTTTCCCTTTTCTCACTTTGAGATTACTCTTGTCATGATAGTTAATTCTTCCTTTAAGCTCTGAGTAGATATAATTCAGGATATTTGATAGTCCTATGGGCCTGAAAGTTTAAGGCCATGGACACTTCTGATGATTTCATCTTCAGACGCTAAAGATCTAATTCAGAGCCTAGGGGTAACGTATCAGGTACATAAAAGACTCTCTTGAATATATATTTTAAAATCTCTACTCTTGCCTTCAGTTAAAACAAAATTTTGTGGGGGCTACTATGTCTAATTAGGGGGGAACATAACATTGAGCCTAAGGTTTATAAACTAGACAAAGCAGCAGATCTAGAGAAATCGGTAGTAATTTTCAGCCACCACAGATTTCTCATCTGATCAAACCATAGTATCCTTAATGGTTTTAAGTGATTATCTTAGATTTAGTAATGGGGAACAGTTTTAAAATGAAAATAGATGCTTCCCCACCCCCCCGATAACCATATAGTTAATATCGTATCCCCAATTAATGCCCACCAAAGGGAAGGACAATTAGAAAATAAATTTTGTCTACTCCTTTTTATTTAATGATCATGTAAGAAAGCCAGATTTTATGTAAACTGTCACTTTAGGAACATTTGTTAAGACAGTGTTATTTTTAATTGCATTAGTACGTCTATCCACCTAGATAATTGTTTATCATCAGGCCATTTCTTATCCCAATAATCCATTCTAATTTCTAGGAATGGATTTGTCTTAAGAGCCTTCTGTTACTTTCTCAAATTTTTATGTTTACTTATAAATATGGCATACAAACCTATCTTACAGAATATTACTGGAAAATATTGGAAAATATAAAAATAATGAAGAGAGACATCACATGATTGTTGATAAATAATTGTTAGGGAACATGTATAGACACCCTACAACTGTCAAAACTCATATACTTGCCATAATTAGGTTCAGGTCTCTAGTTTCTCAAATAAACTAATGTCCTTTTATCAATTTAAGTGCAATGTGAAGAATCCAAGTATAGTTCAAGATAACATTACATAAACTTCGTAAGTTTTTAAATTCATAGATAATTGTGAGTTGGATTGGATTGATAAAAGGCTATTTAACAACATAATCAATACATTCATTCTTCCCAAGAACATAATCAATGATTTAAAAGAGATGTATATCATCACATTTGTATTGTCCTTCACTTTGTAAAGAGGAAGCTAAAGTAATACTTCTGTGGTTTTTGGGGAGTGGGGAAAAGCAGAAATTAGCTGTGTCAGTGGCAAATTATTTTGCTTTTTGGGTTTCTGAAAAATGAACAGTTTTACTACAAACCTTTACAATAAAATTATTGTGCTTAAATTGGACAATAGAACATTTTCAAATTTTTCATAAAAGGAACATACACCAATTATTATTTAAATATGCTTTACAGAAAGTAAAAAATTGGATGACAGATACATTGAGAATACCCTTCCTCATATAAAAATTTCATAATAAAAAATATTAGAATCACTATAGTTACAAAGAATAAGCTCTGAAACTGCTTTCTAAATGTAATGAAACTGGGTTGTACAACTACCAAAATAAACTGCTATTTTGACAGTTGGAATTATAGAAAAAGAGATTATCATATTGAATGGAAACCCTCTTAACTTATAAAAAGGGAAAATAAAAAGCACACTAAAATAATTTTCAAAGACTCTGATACCCCATTTCTTTTGTTTAGTACACTCCTTCATCTACTGCAGGGTATCATACCGGCTTGCCTTTGAAGAAATATAATGCTACATCAGCTTGATAAAAGTCCCTTCATAATACAAGGTTAAGAAGTCAAAGTTTCCTTCCATAGTTTAATGAATAGACAACAAAAAGCATTTTGTCTTAATGTTATTCTACAGTTAGCAAAAAGCAAGAAACCAAGCATTTTTCTCTCATTTTAGGATCATGGTTGTTCTTATCCATGGGGCTGTAAAACTAGCTAGGTTTACACTGGCTGTGGGTTGTGGATGCTTTTTCAGATAATCTCACATGTTCCACTGGGGATAATTGTAACATTCCAAAATCTAAGGTCTAGACAATTGGAAATTAAATGTAGAAAGTTAAGATAATTTTAAAAATTTAGATTTTTGTTTCAAAATACTCTCATATTGGGATAGAGATTTTCATATTTTTAACATGGTGTTATCTGGGCAGCCCGGGTGGCTCAGCGGTTTAGTGCCGCCTCCGGTCCAGGGCGTGATCCTGGAGACCTGGGATCCAGTCCCACATCAGGCTCCCTGCATGGAGCCTGCTTCTCCCTCTGCCTGTCTCTGTCTCTGTCTCTCTCGGTCTCTGTCTCTATGAATAAATAAATAAAATTTAAAAAAAAATGAAATTTAACATGGTGTTATCTTGAAAAGATGAATGCTTGTCTGGGAGCAAGGGACACTCAAAAATATTTCTTATCATTAGCTAACAAAAACAAAGCTGCTACTGAAAAGGAGATCTGAATAAAGTAGCTAATAAAATCACCTTTTCTTCAGCCTAACTCATCTTTCACTGAACAATCGCTTATTGCTGATCTACTTGCACAGTGTGGATTCTCATGCCTGTGCAGGGACTAATGAGATATAAAGACCAAGGTTTATGACTGCATAACATCTAGCTTAATTTTGTACAGTGAGCTTTTACTATATAAACAAAAACAGTAAAACATCAACAAAATTATCCTATTATTATCTAATCATCTCATATCTCATCAAGCCAACTTTACCAGGCTAGGGCTATCAAACAGAAATAATTCAATCTTAATCAATTTTGGAACACTGGTCCTTTATTTAGTGACTTTTGTCAATTATTATCAAATAATTAGACAAATGATAAAATGACTGAGTTTTTGAAACTCTTTTAAGATATGTACAGTTGTATTATTCTCTTTTCCTATGTGGTGAACTATGGTATTTGTTGGATTTTTTTCCAATTACAAACTTTCTAAGTACACACTGCAGAACATAAATGTTATTCTTTAATATTCTTTAGTTATTTACTTTGTATTCTTTTACCCTGGTTAGAAGGAAAACAGAAAATAAGCTTTTTTAAGAATTCAACACTGCAGGGATGGATCATTCCAACCTAATGCAGTAATACTGTACTTAGTCCACTGCTGAGGCCAGGGCTAGCTCCACTGTATGAAGCTACTGTATACGAGGAATTTGTAAAAATATAGCACAGTATAGCTCACATCTAGATAAAACACGCTAAGACTTTCACAAACCTCCTGAGAAATTATTAACCATTACTGGAGAAATAGTGATTTATAAATCCTGTCCAAAGCTGGGCAAGAGGAATAGGGCTGTCACTGCTACAGCTAAGTTTTATTCCTGCTTTTTAAAAAAAATATCAGAATGTTTGGAAATAGAATTTCTTCAATCTAATCAAAGTAACATACTAAACTATACAGGTAAAGGGAAATGAAAGTTGTGAATGTAAACACCAAAATAACAGCATGCCAAAGATGCCAAAGCAAAATAAGAAATAAACTTGCTTCTAAAAGCCTGGCTCCTTTTCCTCCCTCCCATTCAGAGAAATATATATCTGAGTGGGTGGGTGGGTAGGTAGGTACGTAGGTAGGAGACCAGGACTGGGACAGTAAATATAGAACTAAAATGAAAACTTCTCATCTCATAGGATACAATCCATTTAACGAACAGCTCATAGACTCTTATTGTCATCTATCTTATTCTGCACGTAGTATAATTTCCAAATAATATTAATGTTACCAAGGTTAGTGTTAATGTCCTGTTTTAAACAGTTAAATCCTTATGGTATTTGTGAAATAAGGGGACATGAGTAGAACCCTCTTAACTGGTTTTTAATCTTTTATTGTTAAAATTATGTTGATGAGGTCTGCTTAGCCTCCTGAAACCCCACAATGCATTCTATTCATGTGGTTCTCTCCACTATTACGAATTCTTCCTGCTTTACAGTCTTATCAGGCAGAAGCATTCACACTGCAGACTTCTGTATTTAATGTAAAAAATTAGCACGAATATGGAATCATTTCTGTGTACACTCTAATACTTTTCTTCAAGTACAGTTTCTGAGGACAAATGAAAACACTACTAACTTTTAGGTCAATTTACTTAAAAAAATCAGTAAAGAATTTGAAGTCAGACACCTGAATATGGTTTCTGAAAATTCTTAATTACATGTAGCTTGATTTAGTGTTATTCATTTGTATGTAATATACAGGAGTAAATGAAACCTGAACTTCCAAATAGCAAGTACATGAAATAAAATCTTTTAGGTGACCTATCTAAAACCAGAACCAACCAACCAACCAATCTAATTTCAATAATTTTTTGCTTTAAAAAAAAATTGGCCATGATGCAAGAAAAAGGCTGGAAGGGAACTTAAATATAATTTGGGACCAAATTCTTAAGCCAATATGGAAAGTCAGGCAGAGGCATTTCATTTTCAAATGGATGATATTTCACATTTACATAGCACCTTATACAAAGTGCTTTATAATCATTATTACTTGACAGCCATTCATCAACGTAAATGAACATGGTTTACAATCTGTCAACAAATCTCAGAACTTCAAAGCAACCAACTACCCAAGAGAATCTATTCAGTAGCAAATTCTTGGACTAGTACATAGAATTAAGAAAAAATGTTAAGAGACTGTCATAACATCACATATAAGAAGTCACTTATTTATCTTAATGACATATTAGGATGTCAGGTTTAGGAATTACTGAGAAATAGAAGGATTTATATTAAAGAATAAGTAAAATGAGATGCAAGTCAAAGGAAATTGTCCAAAAGGTAAGGCTACCTATTACTTGTAAGTATATGGAAAATAAATCTTTTAGATGTGGAGGGCTATTGAAGCTGTTAAGTGTTAGCCACATTGCTATAATTTGATCTTCAGTTACTAGGATATTCCAAAACAAGAAAAAAATTAATGCACTGCCTGATTTTTTTTCTTCTGTAATTTCCTCCCAAATAACCTAACCAATGCATTTATCTTCTGTCAGCAAACAAGATAGCAAGAAATAATGAAATTTTATGTATGTTTTAAAAATAGTTTCCAAATCTTCGGACAAATTTAATTTCCTATAAAACAATGTGGAAAACTCATTTTTTCCCCTCTAAATAAATCTGTCAGGTGCCTTAGGTAACATCTGATTAGCACCTCTGCCAATGTATTTATGCCTTTGCAAAAAGTGCACTTGCCAATCATTTTATATAGTAAATATGCAAGTTATTTGAAGTGCATTTGGAAAACAATTGAAAACACAGATTAATACATCATAAAAAGATTAATTCCCTTTAAACAAAGACATTCTTATAAAGCATGGTAACACAGAGGCACAATAAAGAATATAAATTGTATATCAATTATTGGCAGAAAATCTAATTCATTACAAAGCCTACACCATTGGGGAAAGGACATTTTCATACAAAGAAAAGTACACTATTATACAACACTTTTAATTGGGCATTTAAAAATTTTTGGCACATTAAAAGGAACTGAAAGGACTACAAAATAAAGAACCAAGAAACTAAAATATAGATAGAGGAGAGAGAAAGTCCTCAAATGAGAAACAACTAAACACCAACATAAAAGAGACAAAAAAATAAGCTGGCTGAATTTCCTGAAATGTTGTCATATGTAACAGAAGTATGTTTTGAATGCAGGGTGTTTTTTAATTCTGATGGCAAGACTTGTCTACCTTGCTGTGGCTGGTTGAACATGGCCCGGATAAGATCTTCTTGTGCTGGTTGCTTGCCTTTGCCTAGCCAGAAATGACTGCCCTGAACCTGTACTAGCAAGTCTATCTTCAGCCGCCTTTTCATGCAGGGTCATTCCCTATATAACATAGGAAAAAAAGTAATCAATGCAAAAAAAAGTGGAACATACTCTCACAAAAGAAAATTTCATCATGCAGAATTTGTCACATTGTATTATAAGGCACAATTAGGAACGTTAATTCTGTTCATTATAGATTAAAATCTTATAGAGACATATTAGTTCCAAAATTAGGTACAAATCTTCTCTTGGAAAAATTAAGGCTTAATTTTCTGAATTTACAGTAACCAAAACACCAGATAATAGAGACAGAATTTTAGAATACGTTACCCATATTCAATCATCGTATTTCCTTTTCAAATCAAATGTAAAAAGTGATTTTCGAAGGACAAAAAGTGCAATCAATTGGTAGCAGCTGATTCACAGGGGGTTGTGGAAATTATGTGGCTTATTTTGAGTGGAAAACACAAATGCACATGTCGTTTCTTGAGGAGGAAAGCCACACTAGGTATATAATACATACCACCAAGGTGTTTTTCTTCACTCCAGGCAGGCTTGTATTCTCAAGCAAATTAAGAAAAGTTCCTGACAGTCCACAACAGAAGGCCCAACCGAGAGCCAGGGGTCTTTCTTGAAGCCTGGAGTAGGATGGCCTACTAGCTCAGAAAGGACAGGATAGACAATTGCTGGACCCAGAGCACCTTAACAGGAGGGAGGAGAGCTCTGGGAGTACGCCTTTTAACCTGTTGTTCTGTGAGGAGATCAGGGAAAAAGTGGTCTAGATACTTATTTAATAAGCAGTAAGGAACCCTGACCAGGGAAATATTAAGAACTGCGTGTGAGGGGGATCCCTGGGTGGCTCAGTGGTTTAGAACCTGCCTTTGGCCCAGGGTGCGATCCTGGAGTCCCGGGATCGAGTCCCACGTCAGGCTCCTGGCATGGAGCCTGCTTCTCCCTCCTCCTGTGTCTCTGCCTCTCTCTCTCTCTCTCTCTCTCTCTCTCTGTCTACCATAAATAAATAGCACTTGTTAGTTAGCATCTAGGGAAAACATTGGTCATGGGCTCTCTGTCTTTAACAGAATTTTGGTCTATTGCATACACCCAAATTCACAACATTTCTCCATTTTCCCAATGGGAAAATCCAGAACATGTTTTATTTTTTTTTTCCCCAGAACATGTTTTTTTACTCAATTTGAAATCAAAGCATTTAAGAATTTGAAGAAAATTGACAAATAGCTACTGGTAGTCTTTAATTTATTAATTTGGCTACATATATTGCCGATTATATTTTATATTAAATATACTACCTTTTTTTCACTTTCACATTCTAACCAACTTATTCCAATTCTTCACATACCTTTAAGACTGCAGGAGCCATGACCAGGCCACTCTGAGATACTTAATGCCTTTTCCCGGTGCTTGTCGTTTCCCTTCCATTCAATGGTTTGGGATGCAGAACTTTCTGAATGTACGTATGAAGCTGTTACTGGCTAACTTTACTAGAACACAACTTGTGTGAGTCTACTAGGAGTTATTTCTTCACTCTCTATAGACCTGCTATTCTTTATTATGTCACAGAATAAATAAATTCAATTCTGTAAGCATAATATGTGAAGTCATACAAATCAATCAAAACTATGAAATGACTAATAAGGACTGAGGGGCAGAGTTTCAAGATCACTAACACTAACCCTTCAAGAGGACAGAGAGGAAAGAGAATAGGTGGAGTCAGAACTAGTACTTAGAGAACTTCCTTAAATAGTTTTCCCCTATTTTTTAATTTTCAAGAAATCTATATTTGTTAATAATAGTATTCTAAACTCAATTTGATTTCCTTTGTTTTTTTAAATTGTGATAAAATATGAAATATGTTGTTTTAACCAAGGCAAATATAAATGTGGACATATCATGAAATTACAGGAATTTTTGACAAAGATCAAATCCCATCATTGGAGACCTGGGACATCACCCTTTAAGACACAGTATCAGTTACAACGGTAAGAAGGCAACAATGGCAACATAACTGTAGGGTTGGGGATGGGGAGAAGGGGATGATGGAAAAAGTCTGGTTCAATTTCCTGTCTTAGGCAACTAACATTTTGCCAAGGCAAAAGTGGTCTTGCTGGAAGAAAAACAATGAAGAAAAAAAGACAGGTCTAGGACAAAACTAAAAGTACAGCAGCACTCTTCAAAATTCACAGCTATTCATATCCAGAAAATCTTACTGAAGCCCAGGAAGTTAACAAGCATTTATTTTCCCCTGCAATACTTTTAACACTTTTTTGTGTTAGAAAATTCAATTTCAAAACCTCCAGTTGTTCAGGGTTTAAAACTATGAACATTTTCCAAACCAACCTCATCGTAAGTACCACTCCTGCAAAGGCAATGGAGTAATCTCACACAATAAACACTTACTGCAACTATGTTCTGGTATTATTAAAGTCCCCTTCTCCTAGAATAAAATGGTTTTCAGGCCCAGAAATCACACTGTCATTTATCTATCCTCTAGGGATAACGATGTGTTCAATACTTCCTAACCCTGATTATGATGGTTTTCATTTCTGCTCTTCAATCCTATGATAAGTATTAGGTTTGGTTAGTGTGTGTTAGGATAGCAATTACTTTCAGATTCATTTGGTAGAACTACTTCTACAATACAGATAGTATGATAAATATTACATATTCATTGAACTTTGCGGAGAATTTTGAAGTATTATTTTCTTACCATATTGTACCAGGCACTAACAATATATTTCTCCTCCATTTCTCTTTGAGTCTTTGTTTTCTCATATTCTCTCTAAAAAAAAACAAGCACATGTAAACATGTAAAGATGAAAATTCAATAATAAAATAAATTATCTAAATTCATGGACACAGTTGTATATAGCAAGAGTCCTAGAAAATAAAGAACCAAAACCCAAATATCTTATTGTATAGTATAGCAAACTACCTCTAAAGAATGGAACAGTCGGTCCCGTTCCTGGAGCTGATTTTTAAGAGCTTGTATTTCTGGTGCTGCTCCTTGATTCTGCTTAGGGTCTAAAGTCCGGATAACCTGCAAAAAGGAACAAAGAAAAAATTTTAAAGTTTCAATTTAAAGGCTATAACATTTAAGGAAGCAGTTACTTAAAAAAACTTGGGATCCCTGGGTGGCTCAGCGGTTTAGCGCCTGCCTTTCGGCTCAGGGCATGATCCTGGAGTCCCTGGATTGGGTCCCACGTCGGGCTCCCTGTGTGGAGCCTGCTTCTCCCTCTGCCGGTCTCTCTCTCTCTTTCTCTGTCTCTCATGAATGAATAAACATTAAAAAAAAAAACCACCCAAACTTAAAGGTAAACCTTGTAAGAATCATAAGGCTATCTTGCAAGGATACTTTAAGATCTGAATGTATGAAATAATATTCAATTGTTAAAACTTTCATTTATATAAAACTTCCAGCTACGTAAGAATCAATTATGGCAAGCAATTCTGGCTTAAAATTAACAAATAATACTACAGTAGACATTACTGACAGGTGTCTTCCCCTTCCCTTTCCTTCCCTCTGATGTGGCTCAGCTACCATCTGCCTTTGACCAGCCCTCTACTCTAGAGAGCAGGTCCTGATGGTTAAAAAGCCCATCACTGTGACCCCATCACCTCTGGCAGTGGGTTGGTTTAGGCATGGGCATGTGATGCAATTCTAGCTGACCAGCTAGCAGTCTTCTGGGAAGGGTCATTTTGCTTTTTGAACCAATACGTTTACTATCAAAACTGATCAAAGCTATAAAAAACTGAAAGAGGGGAAGAAAAAACCCACTTCCTTTAATCCCAATTTACCATTTGCTGCACTGCCACATCTTCTCTCCAGACACACACACACACACACACACACACACACACACACACACACACACACACGCTTGTCTGGGAGCCCACTGTAAAGTAATCTGTGTATCTCATGACATGTAACCCCTAAAAACTTCAACATGCATCTCCTTAGACTAAGGACATTCTCTTACACAATCATGATACCAGTATCATCTGTAAGAATATGAACAATTCTGTAAGTCATCACTATTCAGTCCACATATACATTTCCACAGGTGTCTCCAAAATGTCTTTGATAAATCACTCCTCCTTTTACCCACAATTCAGGATCCAAAGATTAAGGTTACATTTGGCACTTTGATCCCTTTAGGATCTTTTAAATTAGAAGAGCTTCTTGTGCTCCCCCCATACTCCAATGGCTTTTTTTTTGTTTTTCATAACACTAACTTTTATCCCCAATTCTAGATTTATTTGATTATTTCCTGAAGGTATTATTCAACTTGTTCCAATAATCTCATTTTCTCTGGAAACTGAAAGTTAGGTCTAAAAGATGGCTTAGGTTCAGGTTACATATTATTGATAATGATACTACATCTGCTGGTTATCCTATCATTTGTGTAGCTAATTTTGATTATTAACCTAAAGAGGGGACTGCCACTTATTTTCTACATAAAGGACCATTTTCCTCTTTGTAATTAGTAACTACAGTATGGGGTGATCTATTTGGATCATTGTTTCATCCTCAGCATTTTTTTTTTTTTTTGTCAAAAGATTTTTTGTTCTTTTCCTGATAGCTCTTGATATAAGAAGTCACTGTACTTGTCCTAAATTGGATGACCAGTGAAACAGGATCAGAAAGTGGAGTGAGAAGCCCAGAAACTCATACTTACACTTTTGGCTTTCTCTAAGTACTTTTTATATCGTTCCTCCATTTGCTTCATTTCCTCCTCTTTCTTTCGTAAAGCTTCTTGTAATTCTTCAATTTTTAAGGCTACAGATGAGTGAAAAAAAAATTTTTTTAGATTGTAACAACCTGAAAAATGTTTCAAAATGGTAAAATGATTAGTTAACAGCATTGAAAGTGTTTGGTCTACTCCTATATATAATTATATTTTAAAAACTTGTAATTTTTTTTATAGAAAGTTTTTCTAATAAAAACTTCAGCCTGGAAATGCATAAAGAGTATCCATCAGTAGATGAGTGGATAAACAAAATGTGGTCAATATATATAATCAAATTATTATTCAGCTCAATTCTGATACATGCAACAACATGGAGATGATAGAAGTGAAAAAGAAAGATATTCTGCTAGGTGAAGTAAGCCAGACTTGAAAGGAAAATGTATTAATCCACTTAGATGAGTTACTTAGAACAGTTCTCAGAGAAGGAAAATAGAACAGTAGCTCCCAGGGGCTGGGAGGATAGGGAACAATGGGAGGTTATTGTTTAACAGAAACAAAGTTTCAGCTTGCGATGACGAAAAAGTTCTGGGAATGGATAGTATTTGTACAACAATGGGAATATACTAAATGTCAATGAACTATATACTTAAAAAATGGTTAAAATAGTCATTTTTAAAAAAGATTTTATCTGTCAGAGAGAGAGCAGAGAGAGAGAGAGAGAGAGAGAGAGAGAGAGCGCACATATGAGCGAGGGTGGGGGGTAAGGGAGAATAGGGAGAAACAGACTCCCCACTGAACATGGAGCTCGTCTTGGGGAATTGATCCCGGGACCTTGGAATCATGACCAGAGAGCTGAAGTCAGACACTCAATGGACTGAGCCACCCAGGCAACCTTAAAATGGTCATATTTATGTGATGTATATTTCACCACAGTTAAAAAAAGGGGGGGAGGAGAGATCTGCATTGTGCTCTACATAAAAGCTTTAATAAAGTCAGGCTACCTACATGTATAAATATCAAAAGCAGTAAAAGTTTGGTTGACTTACATACTATGAAAACAGCTAATTTCATAAAATATTGATTAGCATCCACAGTTAAGGAAAAACTCAGAACTATAATTAGAAATACTGTAAAGATGATTATACACTCTTTCTGTAAATAAGATAAATTCTTTAACTGCTAGAATATGTAATAGAACCTATTTCTGAAAGAAACAATTTTATATAAACTCATCACTAGGCATCTGGGTGGCTTGATCTGTTGAACATCCAACTCTTGGTTTCGGCTCAGGTCATGATCTCAGGGTCATGAGATTGAGCCCAGTGTTGCATCAGCTTAGAATTCTCTCTCTTCCTCTGCCTGGGCCCCTCCCTCCTGCATGCACACATACTCACTCTCTTTTAAAATCTTAAAAACAAAACAAAACAAAACAAAAAACAAACAAACAAAAAAACCCACACAAAATAACTGTGATAATTAGTAACATAATATGTCAACTTCAATTAAAAATAACTATGCTAATTAGGATAAACTCACAACTGTTATTAAATCGTGGTTCAAGATCTTCAATAATGGCTCTCTTCTTCTGCAATTCATTATTGGCTTCATGAAGCTTCTCCCTGTAACAAAATATGTAACACATTGTCATCTACTACTGCTTTTTTTCCCCCACTTGAAATGAAAAGATCTATGTTCTTTATTCTGGGATACACTTGCATAGCATGCAGCTGCTATGAAACAAAAAAGGGATAAAAAGTCTAATCTGGCATGAATTTTTTTTTTTTAAATTTTTTATTTATTTATGATAGTCACAGAGAGAGAGAGAGAGAGAGAGAGAGGCAGAGACACAGGCAGAGGGAGAAGCAGGCTCCATGCACCGGGAGCCCGACGTGGGATTCGATCCCGGGTCTCCAGGATCGCGCCCTGGGCCAAAGGCAGGCGCTAAACCACTGCGCCACCCAGGGATCCCCTGGCATGAATTTTATATATATTTTAAAAATAGAATAGAATAAAGACTCCTGGGGGGTTGCTGGAAGTATTCTATATGTTGATCTGTTGATTCTATAGGTTGATACCTATTTATGTAGAAAAACATCCAACAAACTTAGAACTTAGCATTTGTGTACTTTATCTAAGTTATATATCCTAATACAAGAGTAAAAAATGCACAGAAAATAAGTTTCTTCCTGTTAGTTACTATATGTGCAATTCTCTCTATGGTATTTGACACTTTGTAATATAAGAGGAAAAACAGCTGCATAAATCAGAAGAAAATACAGAAAAAAAAAACCTAAAGAAAATAGATCACTTTTTATTTTTTAAAGATTTTATTTATCTTTCATGTGAGAGAGAGAGAGAGAGGCAGAGACACAGGCAGAGGGAGAAGCAAGCTCCATGCAGGGAGCGTGGTGTGGGACTTGATCCTGGGACTCCGGGATCATGCCCGGGGCTGAAGGCAGGTGCTAAACCGCTAAGCCACCCAGGGATCCCCCAGATCACTTTTTAGAGTCTATTTCTGGTCTTTTTAATGCATAATACTTTAATAAATCTATTTCTTTTTCAACAAATTTTTAATTGGTGGATAGTACTCTATTTTTATTTTTAGAAAATGTTTGCAATAAGATTTTCACATTATAAAACCTCTATAAAGTTTTTAATCAATTTTTATAATATCCTATTCCTAGAAAAAAAATGAAGATTTAATAAGCCTATTTCTTTTTCAACAAATTTGCTGAGAGTGTGATGTATCTAGATATAAAATCAGTATATACAGGGACGCCTGGGTGGCTTAGTGGTTGAGCATCTGCCTTGGAACAGGGTGTGATCCCAGGATGGAGTCCCACATCGAGCTCCCTGCATGAAGCCTGCTTCTCCCTCTGCCTATGTCTCTGCCTCTTTCTCTCTGCATCTGTCATTTGAATAAATAAAATCTTAAAAAAAAATCAGTATATACAGTAGTTAAGAGAATAAGAAAATTTAAGCCCAGTAAAGAAATAGGGTATGAAACAGAAATTATTCCAGAACCTTAGGGAACCCAAACTCAGAATTTTAATCTTTCTCATGACTTTTGTGATGAGCCTGTGTGTAATCCTAACCAATATATTGGTGCATTTTACCAAATTTTGCTTTTTATATCATACTATATGTATTGTTCTATGACTTCCATTTTCTACTTAACACCATGCTCTTAAGATTCACTTATATTGATGTGTTAGCCCCAAGTTACATATTTTTTACTGCACTGTAGTGTTCTGTTGCTTGAACATACCTCATTCTAGCTACTATTTTACAAACCGGTGATATTTGTATTGTTTCTACTTTTTTATGATTGCAAACAACATTTTTTCATACTTTCTACATGTCTCCTGACACACACCTAGAAATGGTAACAGAACTTCTAGGAAGCTAGGGTATATGTAGGGAGTGGAACTGATAGGTCACAGAATATGTGCATGTTCAGTTTACTAACTGATGTATACTCAGTGGAATGGATTAGAATGACCTCTGCTGACCATCTTTGGCAATATTTAGTATGTCTGATTTTCAAATTTTACATTTTGTGTGTGTAAAATAGTCTTCAGTGTAGTTTTTAATTTGCATGAGAATGATCACCTTTTGAAATGTCTATGGACCTTCTTGTGGATTGAATTTTATCTCCCCCAAAAGATATGGTGAAATCCTAACCTCCTATACCTAGGAATGTGACATCATTTGAAAACAGTGTCTTTGCAGATACAATTAGTTAAGATGAGATCATGCTGGATCAGGGTGGGCCTTATGTCCAATGACTAGTGTCTATTAAAAAAGGCCATGTGAAGATAAAAAGTAGAGAGAAAAATGCCATGTGAAGATGGGGTGTTAGGGATTGGAGTGTTATTAATTAGGGAACACTGAGGATTGCTAGCAGCCAACCTGAAGACGGGCATGGAAGATATTCTCCCTTAGACCCTCCAGAAGGAACCAATTCTGCTGACTTCCTTGATTATAAACTTAAAGCCTCAAGGACTGGTAGAGGATAAATTTCCACTTTGTTTAGCCACCCAGTTTTTGTAATTTGTTATGGCAGCCACAGGAGACTAATAGGCTCATCATCACTTCTTCTTTTTGACGAAGATATTTACCATGTAAATGAACACAGAATAATGGTCAGTTTTATGAAACAACAGGCATTCTATTTTTTTTTTTTTTTTGCATTACAGAAATAGGAAAGAAAAAAGGACAGAATTCAGTACTGAATCCTGACTCTAGGTAACCTCACGATGGTTAGAAGGTAACATTTCTCTTCTACTAGTACATAAAGAATCTGCACATTATTAGATTTGCCATCAAGTGTCAGTTGCTAGGACTCACTTTTCCCACATTAAAAAAAAAGGATAGCATGAGGCAAATTACCAGATAATAGAATTTTTTTTCTAATCATTGTAGAACAAGTCATTTTCTCTCTGAGATACTGAGGATGTTGGGTTTACTATAGTGGAACACTGTAACATTCCCAATAGGCTAGCAGTTCATGACCATCCCCGCTCAATGTTTGTTAGGAGAGTTTTCCTAGAAAGTGATAGGAAGCATTAAAATTGTTACTGGGTGTGAGAAAAATCACGAAACATTCCTAACAATGTCAACCTCAGCTAAAGATAAAAATGGATGAAGATTTCTTCATGAGAAAACAAATGTAACGTTTTACAATTTATTTCACTTTTAGATTAAAAAGTCACTTTCATATATTTGCAATTCAAGGAAATGTTTGAAAAATCTGCTGCTGCTAAGCTCTGTAGTACTTTAAAAAGGAAGATTCTGGGATGCCTGGGTGGCTCAGTGGCAGAGCCTTTGGCTCAGGGCGTGATCTCGGGATCTGGGATCGAGTCCCACATCAGGCTCCCTGCATGGAGCCTACTTCTCCCTCTGCCTCTGTCTCTGCCTCTCTCTGTGTGTCTCTCATGAATAAATAAATAAATAAATCGGAAGGAAGGAAGGAAGGAAGGAAGGAAGGAAGGAAGGAAGGAAGGAAGGAAGGTAGGTTGGTTCAGCTAGTTATACTCTAGCACTGGCAAACTATAGTCTGTGTGCCAAATTCAGCCTGCTGCTTGTTCTTGTATAAAGTTTTATTGGAACAGTCACATCAGTTTATAATCTATGGCTGCTTAAACTACACAACTAAGTGGTTGTGACACAGACCATGGCTTACGAAGCCTAGTGTAACTGCTGGCTGGCCCTTTATAGAAAAAGGTTTCTGCTTCCTGATCTAGTGTCTCAAACTCCTAACTATGGTTAGAAATACTATCACAAAGATATAAAACTCTGGAACCCTATTTGAGAAAACAGTTCTAAAGCAGTACTTATTTTTAATTTAAGGACCTTGGATGGAGATGACCCTTCAGACACTATGAAATGTGTCTTATAATTTCCCCTATCCTCAGGGCCATTGCCTAGATCCTCTGTAATAACCTAACAAAATACTTTTATTTCACGAGAGAACAGAAGAGATTCAACAGCTTTTATACTTACAGATGTTCTTCCAGCTTCTTTTTTAGAAGAACTGACTGAAAATGGAAAATAATAAAAATTTATTTAACATTTTAACTAATAAATTACTTTGTAAAAATAAAGAGCACAGTAGTAATCAACTCTGAATGGGTTCTCAGTAAATTCTCTGGTCAAAGAACTTAAAACATACAATGTACCTAAGTCTATTTCTCTTGGTATAAGATATCTAGAAACTGTATATCTGAATTGTCTATTTATAGTCAGGAAGAATTGAATAAAAAGGCCACTTATATATAGACCTACCATTCCTGGACTTAATAGGCAGGTAGAATTCTAATAATAATAGATTTTTTTCCCTAACATATTTTTTATCTATATTATTTTCCTTGCATCATGATAGAGAATGGGATCAACTTCCATGAATGCTGACCTACTCAGAGATTTCTGAAATATGCACACAAATAATTTCTGTGATTATATGGGAATGTGAAGGATGGTGTATGCATAGAATTTAATTTACTGAAAAACACAGTTTTGGCTGGGTGTTTTTATTTATTTTTTAATTTTTTAAAAAACTTATTTATTTATTCATGAGAGACACACAGAGAGAGAGGCAGATACACAGGCAAAAGGAGAAGCAGGCCCCATACAGGGAGCCTGATGTGGGACTCCATCCCAGGACTCCAGGATCACGCCTGAGCCAAAGGCAGGCGCTTAACCACTGAGCAACCCAGGAATCCCAAACTAGGTGTTTTTAAAAAATGTCTCCTAGGGGAGGTGTCTGGGTGGCTCAGTTACTTAAACATCTGACTCCTGATTTCAACTCAGGTCATGCATGATCTCAGTGTCCTAGAATGGAGCCCTGTGTGGGGCTCCAGGCTCCATAGGGACTCTGCTTGAGAATTCTTTCTCTCTCTAAAAGAAATATAATCTTAAAAAAAAAAAAAAGTCTCCTAGGGGTACTTGATTTTGGCTCAGGTCAAGATCTCAGGATTGTGAGATCAAGCCCTATGGTGGTTTGCACTGGGCATGGAGCTTGCTTAGGATTCTCCCTCTCTTGGGATGCATGGGTGGCTTAGTGAGTTAAGTGTCTGCCTTCGGGTCAGGTCACGATCCCGGGGTCCTGGGATTAAGTCCCACATCCGGCTCCCTGTTCAGCGGGGAGTCTGCTTCTCCCTCTGCCTCTGCCCCCTGGCTTGTGCTCTCTGTCACTCATTCTCTCAGAGAAATAAAATCTTTAATAAAAAAAAAAAGAAAAAAAAAAGATTCTCTCTCTCCCTCTTTCCCCCCAGTTCACATGTGTGGTTTTTCTCTCAAAACAACAACACACACATGGTCTCCTAAAAAGCAGGATATTAGGATTGGCCTAAAAATAAAAACTAATGGCATTCGATAAAGGACCACTCGGTTTAATAATTAAACCACATTTGTAAGGTACATATTATAAATGAATTCTATGAAACATTCCACTTTGAGATAAATTCAGCCAAACCCAATTAATACAGGCTTATAAAACAACCTGCCCAGTCAAAAGCAGCAGTGAAGGGGGTAAAACCTTCACACCAAGTTCTTGGATTTTCAGTCACCTGATTTATTTATTTATTTATTTTTAAAGATTTTATTTATTCATGAGAGACACAGAGAGGGAGAGTTAGAGACACAGGCAGAGGGAGAAGCAGGCTCCATGCAGGGAGCCGGATGTGGGACTTGATCCCGGGACTCCAGGATCACATCCCGGGCTGAAGGCAGATGCTCAACCGCTGAGCCACCCAGGCGTTCCTCAGTCACCTGATTTAAAAATGACTATGTAACTGTTTATTCACACCCATTGTAACAGAGCTCTGGAGTTTATCAAGTTTACTTCTTTGCTCAATATGTCAACTATACCAAGATCAATGGACTGCCAGGCCCCCTACAAGTGCTTCCCCCAAATATAAAAAAGGGCAATAAACCCTGTTAATTTTTTTTTTTTAGATTTTATTTATTTATTCATGAGAGACACAGAGAGAGAGGCAGAGACGCAAGCAGAGGGAGAAGCAGGCTCCATGCAGGGAGCCGGATGAGGACTCGATCCTGGGTCTCCAGGATCACACCCTGGGCTGAAGGCGGCGCTAAACTGCTGAGCCACCTAAACTGCTGGGCCACTGGGGCTGCCCCCCTGTTACCTTTCAATTATTACTTTGTTCCTTCTTTAATACAGGCAGTAAAATGAAAATACTTTCTAAATACCTGTAATTTTGCATTTACATTTTGACTGGGCTCTAGCAGAATTAGTTTAAAAAAAATTTTTTTTAAAAAGATTTATTTATTTGAGACAGAGAGAGAGAGAGAGAGAGAGAAAGAGAGAACATGAGAACACAAGCAGGGCAAGCGGCAGGCAGAGGGAGAAACAGAAAACTGCTGAGCAGGAAGCCTGATGCGACTCTATCCCAGAACCCTGGATTACGACCTGAGCTGAAGGCAGATGCTTAACTGACTGAGCCACCCAGGTGCCCTGCAAAATTAGTTTTACCTGAGATAATACACAATAATTATCTCATGAATGGTTAATATACCAGGCACTGCACTAAAGTATATCATATGCAGTCTCATGTTAATCTTACAACTGTGAACAATATTAGACCCATCTTATAAGTGAGAAAGATGAGACTGGGGAGACATTCCGTAACTTTCAAGTGGCAGACCCAGAATTATAACCCAGGTCTGAAAACAAAAAAACAAAACAAAACAAAACAACCCAGGTATGCTAGACTCTAAAGTTTGTGCATGGTCTTTACTTCCATGCTTCTTATACTCCACCACCTCTCCACTGAAGACTGTTACTACTACAGAGGGGGCAGGAGGGGCCAGACTGCAATAGCAAGCCTCAAAATAATTTATAAAAATGTACTAATTAGGGTGGCTCAGTGGTTGAGCGTCTGCCTTTGGCTCAGGGTGTGATCCCAGAGTATTGGGATTGAGTCCCACATCAGGCTCCCTGCATGGAGCCTGCTTCTTCCTCTGCCTATGTCTCTGCCTTTCTCTGTGTCCCTCATGAATAAATAAATAAAATCTTTAAAATAAATGTACTAATTATAATAAGGAGGTAGAGCAGAAGTGGGATGAGGGAAAAAAATAAGAGCAGGTGTCTTTTTGGTTTGACTTGTTAAGTTTTCAGTATCCTTTAAATATCTTAAGAGTAAAGGGCATAAACCTGTAAGGCAAATAATATATTCATTGCACATAAAATTCCTGTATTAAAAATTTCAATACCATAAATTATGATGTAAGAGAATGTACATAAATAAAAAATTTGCTCAATATATAGAAATGAATAGAAAGCCATACTTACAATAGCCTTTTGAGCAGAAACCATGCCAAGAGACAGAGAGGACATATTAGTATGAAGCAAACACAGCAGCCAATAGAAGGAACGATTTAGTAATTCAAGAACAGAGGTAAAAGTTATACATTTTTTTTTAAAAAAAGTACATTTATCTTTCTTCTATGGTCTCCTCATCCTGTCTTGTTCTCTTGAGTTTTATACACTGTGGCTAGCTCAAATTATCCATATGACTGGATATAAGAATGCTTTTTCTGCTTCCATGCTAAAGATAAATGACATAAAAATAATAATAAAAATGTGTAAACCATCCTACTCTCTGACTTAGGGTCACATGAAAGGACTGTGCTTTTGGTAACAGAAATAGGCAGAAATTATGCTGTTCTTCAGAGAGGACCAGTTCCATCTGGTTGGTTGTCCTATGTACTACATATTCCTGAGATGCAGCACTATAGGTTAGTGAAAGAGAAGACAAAAACATCAAACATTTGCTGGGGGAAAGAACCACACCATTTATTTCTTCTCACCATTTTGAGGTATATCACAATAAAGGAAGTTCCTATCTGAATCTTTTATATATATATATATATATATATATATATATATATATAATGCCATAGATCTCATTGTGTTTTAAAGTCCCCAGGCAATTTTGAAGTTTAGTTAGGTTTGGTTTGGTTCATATATATATATATATGAACTCTAAGGAGATATATCTAAGAATTTAGAGCAACACATTTCTTTAGCATCTGGGTAGTTAAATTAACTTATGCAAAGGGTACTTTCAGGGCTAGCATTTCACTTCTGAAGTATATATTCTCTTTAACCAATGGCACACAGCATATTTAATTAGATTTCATTACCACCACAGTGATACCTAAATCAGGCTATGCAAAATTACTTTTTAACAGAATAAACTCCTTCTGTACATTCTGCTACAAGTAAGTGAATCAAGTATGTATAATAGCTATAACTGTAGCACTAAGGTAGAGCTGATATGACTTCTTCGGCCATTCCTACAGACCACATGCCCTTCCCCTCTCTCCCATAACAAATCAACAAAAAGTCTCCTCAAAGTTTTGTAAACAAAGTTTATATTTACCTCAGTTTAAGAGATCTAGTGATTTTACTGAAGAAATCACTTTGGTTCATCTCTAATATCCTCTTACTTAGACTGAGATTTTAATACACTAATGTTGTTTTGCTTCACCTCTTTCTGGTTGAGCATTCTGGATTAAAAACATGTTTAAAAGTAAACCATGATATTTCAAACTAGTTCCATTTTAATAAGGGAATTAAGGTAGTTTAGATGTTGGTGACAATTTTAGGAACTAGGAATCAATTTGGGATCTAAGAAGGACTACCAACACACTAATTGAAGAATAAACTAAAGTCAGTGATCTTAGGAAGAGCATACTGCTAATAGAAGATAGATGTATATTTATGAAACTTATAAAATTAGGTCAATGATGAGCTTTTTTATCTAATATTCACAGGTTTTGAGTAATAGACTGGTACCTTCATTGGTTCCTTTTGTTTTCATACGCTCCTACATTAACAAGGTTGGATAGAAATGATATATCTATGGTTCTGACAATTCTCCAAAAAGACTATCAGTGAAAGCAACTATGTAGATTTATACTCAAAGGCCAGAGTTTATAGAAAATTACACCAGCAATAATTAACCAAGAGCCAACTGTCTGAAGCAAAGATTGATCACTAAAATTAAGGCTTTCTTTCCTCCTCTTTACACTATTTTTGAACACTCTACAGTTGTAGTTCCACCGTATACTGCTTATTGAATGTAAAGGATTTGCAAAATTTAATTGACATTTCATTAGATACTCAGACTATGTGCTTCATAAGCACTGTGATAATTTAGAAAGTGAGTATGAAAACATGAAAGTCCATCTAGTTCTTCTGGTTCAACACATTTAGTACATTCTAACGTGAGCATGCCAGTCAAGCAGGCAAGGCTATGACTGATATGCAAAGTATAAGGGAATATTAAAAAAGGTCACTGAACTTATATTTGAGTGGGGCAGGGCTGAGGATAGTAAGAAGGATTCAGAAATTCTGAGATGGTTATTTTTAGGGATAGCATTATATTTAAAAATATAAATTACACATAAAAAATTTCTACTTGAACATGCTAATTTCTACTAGCATTTTGTTGTTGTTGACCTGAAGGAAAAACCCTATATTCTGAATACTGAGATGAGTCCATTTATAACACAAAGCCTTGGGGAGCCTGAGTGGCTCAGTCAGAAAACCATGTGACTCTTGATCTCAGGGTCATGAGTTTGAGGCCCACAGTGGGTGTAGAGGTTAATGTATGTAAGTGAATAATAAAAACTTAAAAAAAAAAAAAAGTAGTTTCCCTACTTTCTAAAGCAAACAAATGAAAACCACCACCAATTAACTCCTTAGTTAGTAACACAAATAAACTTCTAATTCCTAGCCGAGTGATTCCAAAACAGACAATGAAGTACTGTCTGGTCTTTTTCATAAGGAATGTTAGTAAAAAGAAAATATTGCTTCTTTTCTATTACCAATGTAATTATAAATTATTTTGATAGAGACAATCAATTAAAAAATAACATTGTGAAACTGTTGCACCATAGTTGGCACACGTTAAAACTTACATCTTCTGCTTTTGAGCCTTGATCTTGTAAAGACTTTTGCAATTCTTCAACTTGTGACTGTACTTCCAGAAGTCTTTGATTTACCAGCCTAGAAATCAAATGAATAATAATTTTCCAAATCCAGACTTAATTATACTTTCTCCTTAGGTCGTCATATTGGTTAGAGAGACAGCATAACTCGCAAAACAAACCCTCATGTTAAGATAAATAGTAGAGCTCACTGTTCTGGTTGGTTATATTTTGTTTACTTAAAATTTCTATGATGATTTCAAATATGGTAGTTTAGTGGACATATTTTGTTGCACAAGTATACTTGTTTACACATATCGAATTATTTGAAGCTCACTTCAATACATTTTTATTCAAGCTATGTATCAGGCACTATGCTCAGCCCTATGTTAAAAGATCCCTGTACTCAAGGAATTTAGTGAGGAAGCCAAATATTAAAATACAAGATAAATACTTCACATAGTACATAGAGGTCCCAAAAAGGACTAACGACTGCTTGAAGCAGCAAGAACCTTACCTAATTGTGTGGAGGAGTTAGGCTTGACTGAACTGAGACCAGAATAAGAAATAAAAATACTTAAGTGATTAAGGGTGGAAAGCGGATTTAAGACAGAATTCACCATGTCCAAAGCCCACAAAAAAATAAGGGGGTATAAATGAGGTCAAGAATGGCATATCTAGAGCCTACTTAAAAAAATATTTTTTTAAAAAAGATTTTATTTATTTATTTGACAGAAAGCACAAGCAGGGGGAACAGAGGAGGGAGAGAGAGAAGCAGGCTTCCTGCAGATCAAGGAGCCTAATGTGGAGCTGGATCCCCGGACCCTGCGATCATGACCTGAGTCGAAGGTAGACGCTCAACTGCTGAGCCCACCCAGGCATCCCAAGAAAGATAAAGTCTTAAATGCTCACGTTAGATTGGCCATTTAAGAGATGACTGGTTATTTTAATAGGAAACACGTCAGTGAAGCCTGACCATCTTGAATTAATGACAAAACAGGACAGTGAGTACTTAGGATGGAAACAGCCAGAAAATTCAATAAGCCATTATTTTTTTTTACTAAATAAACTAAGAAATTCTTACTATAAATGTTCCAAGTTCTGTAATTAGTGAAAATCACACTAAAAATTCAATCAAATCTATAGTAATAACTGATATTTCTCACATTGAGGAATTTGGGTGTTTTTTAAATAGTGAAGGAAATATCTGAAAACCTATATTCTATATGGGGAGATACACAAATACATTACTAGTGACACTGTAGTGTTGTTCAATTTTTTCAGAAAGTAATATGGAAATATATTTCAAGCTATTAGAGTAGTTCAACTTAGCCACTTTTGAAATTATTTAGTCAACAAATATTGTAAACCTATTAGGTCTTGGTAATTCCCATAAAATATAACAAAATATAAATATATAATAAAAATATAAAATATAGTAAGTAAGTCCATATCAAGATGTTCCTTGTAAGTATCTAAAAACAACTCCAATGTCCAGTAATGGCAAATAGACAAATGAACACAGCAATATAACAAAGTGTGAAGTATACATAAATACACAAGCGAAGCTACTGGTGAGCTTGGCTCTGGTAGAGCCCTGACTGCAATAGGAAGCAGTGCCCCAAACCTTAAAGATAGCATGACCAACAGCAGTGTAGATACAGTATAGAACCAGCAGCTTGAAAAATGCCAAGGGCAGACTCGAGGGACACTGATTTGCTCCTCTGGGACTGTGTCCCAGAAAGACAGGGATCAGGCACAGACCCTTCCAGGAATAAGGGAACTGGCAAGTACCATTTTTCTTTGCTTGTCTTCCAGCACAAACACATAGCCACCACTCCTACTTAACTTCTTGCACCAAGCACTGTCTCATGTTTCCACCTCTCACAGTCACGCTCCTCTTAGTCCTAGTGCTGCAGGCCTCCTCCTGCAGAAGACTGGCACAAGCCCTGCTAACACCACATCTCCTAACCTGTGTGTTTTGTGCGACCTCTGGTCTCACTTGTGAGGCAGATCTCATTTCACAAGCCACCACTACACCCCTTGTTAAAACACTCCCCATCCCTGCTGGGGACCAAACACTGCCCACAAATAGGCAAAGAGAATATCTATAGACAATGGGAATGAAGGAAAAAGAGGTCAAGACTCAACAGCAGAGCACACATGTAGGAGACACTCCAAGAAGTGCCAGGCCCTGGGGAACAGGGGACACTGCAATACAGGACATCTTCTTCATAAGGCTATTATTATTATGAGCAAGAGAAGTAGCTGACTTTCCTACCAGAAATAGACACAGAAAATAAGGCAAAATGAGGAGACACAGAGATATTTGTCAAATACAAGAACAGGACCAAACCACAGCAAGAAACCAAAGCAAGAGAGACATATGTAATAATATGCCTGACAAGGAATATAACGTAATGACGATAAGGAAACTCACTGATTTTGAGAAAGGAATGGAGGACATCACTGAGACCCTTAACACAGCATTAAAAAGGAACCAATCAGGGATCCCTGGGTGGCGCAGCGGTTTAGCGCCTGACTTTGGCCCAGGGCGCGATCCTGGAGGCCCAGGATCGAATCCCACGTCGGGCTCCCGGTGCATGGAGCCTGCTTCTCCCTCTGCCTGTGTCTCTGCCTCTCTCTCTCTCTCTCTGTGACTATCATAAATAAATAAAAATTTTAAAAAAAATGGAACCAATCAGAAATGAAGTATACAATAAATGAAATTAAAAATACACTTGATGGAATAGCAGGCTAGATGAAGTAGAGGAATGAATTAATGACGTGAAAGAGCAATGGGAAGTAACCAAGTTAAGCAAAGGAGAAGAAAGAAAATTAAGCAAATTGATAATAGTCTTAGAAAACTCAGCAACTCCATCAAACATAATAACATTATGCAATATAGGGATCTCAGAAGAAGAAGAGAGAGCTGAGGGAGCAGAAAACTTATCGGAAGAAATAACAGCTGAAAACTTGCCCAGTCTGGGGGAGGAAACAGATATCAAGATCTAGGCGGCACAGAGATCCCGCCAAAAATCCAACTCAGAAAGATCCATACCAACACATATAATAAGATGGGAAGAGTTAGGGATAAAGAAAAAAAAATTAAAAGTAGCAAGAGAAAAGAAGACAGTTACATACAAGGGAAACCCCATAAGGCTATCAGCAGATTTTTCAGCAGAAACCTCACAGGACATAAGGAGTGGCATAATATACTCAAAGTGTTGAAAGGGAAAAAATCTCTAGCCAAGAATATACTCTATCCAGCAGGACTGTCATTCAGAACAAAAGGAGAGATAAAGAGTTTCTCAGACAAACAAAAGCTAAAGGAATTCATGACCACTAAACCAACCCTACAAGAAATACAAGAACAAATACAAGAAATACAAAAACAAATACAAGTCCCCAGAAAGGGGACTCTGAGTGGAAGGGAAAGGCCATAAGGGAGCATGAAAATTAAAATACACAAAAGTAGTAAAAATAAATATTTCTGTAAAAATCAGTCAAAGGATTCATAAAAGGAAAGGATGTAAAATTTGACACCATATGCCTAAAAGATAGGGTGGGGGGGAAGGAGCAAAAAATGGGTTTAAACTTAATATAAACTGCTATATGCAGAAGATATTATATACAAACCTAATGATAACCACAAATCAAAAATCAGTAATAGATATGCAAAGAATAAAGAGAAAAGAATCCAAATATATCACTAAAGAAGCCAACAAACCATGTAATAGAACAAAGGAAGAAAAGATCACAGAAAAACTATAGAAACAGCCACAAAACAAGTAACAAAATAGCAATAAATACACATGTATCAATAATTACATTGGTATAAATGGACTAAATGCTCCAGTCAAAACAGGGTGACAGAGTAGATAGAAAAACAAGACCCATCTGGGGTGCCCGGGTGGCTCAGTGGTTGAGTGTCTGCTTTTGGCTCAGGTTGTGATCCTGGGGTCCTGGGATCGAGTCCTGCATCAGCCTCCCTACAGGGAGCCTGCTTCTCCCTCTGCCTAAGTCTCTGCCTCTCTTTCTGTGTCTCTCATGAATAAATAAAATCTTTTTTTTTTTTTTTAATTTATGATAGTCACAGAGAGAGAAAGAGAGAAAGGCAGAGACATAGGCAGAGGGAGAAGCAGGCTCCATGCACTGGGACCCCGATGTGGGATTCGAACCTGGGTCTCCAGGATCGTGCCCTGGGCCAAAGGCAGGCGCCAAACCGCTGCTGCCACCCAGGGATCCCATGAATAAATAAAATCTTAAAAAAAAAAGGGGGGGGGACCCATCTAGATGCTGCCTACAGAAGACTCATTTCAGACCTAAAGTCATATGCACATTGAAAGTGAGGGGATGGAGAAACATTTATCATGCAAATGGTGCCAAAAGAAAGTCAGAGTAGCTAACTTATAATGGAAAAGGTAGCTTTAAAACAAAGACTGTGGGGGTGCCTGGGTGGCTCAGTCAATTGGGCATCTGTCTTTGGCTCAAGTCATGGTCTTAGTGTTCTGGGATGAAGCTCTGTGCTGGGCTTCCTGCTTAGTGGGGTGGATGCTTCTACCTCTCCCTTACTTGTGCTTTCTCTCTCTTTCAAATAAATAAAATCTTTAAACAATAACAACAAAAACAAAGATTGTAACAAGAGATAAGGACACTATTTAATAATAAAGGAGACAATCCAACAAGAGGATATAACAATTTAAAATATGCACCCAACATGGGAGCATCCAAATACATAAAACATTTAATAACAAACATAAAGGAACTAATCTCTTGTAATACAGTAACAGTAGGGGACTTTAACACCCACTTACATTAATGAATAGATCACCCAAACAGAAAATCAAGAAGGGAAGAGTGGCTTGAATGACATCCTAATAAAAAATCAAGGCTCCAACCACAGGATGATAGTCTCCTCTAGGAGGCAAGGAAGAAGGAAGGAGGAAGGAGAGAGGAGGAGGAGCTTTAGGAATGGAAACCATAGGGGCTACCAACTGTTTCTGAAGTGTGTTTTCCTTAAAAATATCTGAATCTGAAATGGCAAAATTTTAATTTATGTGACCCTGGATGCCTGGTGCATAAACATGGATTCCATTATTCATTCTACTTTTTTCGTGTGTTTGGCAAACATCTTAATAAAACGTTAGAAAATTAAAAAAAAAAATCAAGAAGGAAAGTGTGGCTGAATGACAGAACATCCCATCCAAAACAGCAGAATACACATTCTTTTCTAGTGCATATGAAATATTCTCCAGAAGAGATCAAGTACTAGGCCAGAAAACAAGTCTCTCAACAAATTCAAAAAATCAGTCATACCACAAATCTTTTCTGACCACAATGCTACGAAACTAGAAATTAACCACAAGAAAAAATCTGGAAAGAGCATACATACGTAAGGGTTAAATATCATGTTACTAAACAACGAATGGGCCAAACAAGAAATCAAAATTACATGGAAACAAATGAAAATGGAAACACAATGGTCCCAAATCCTTGGGATATAGCAAAAGTGGTTCTATGAACAAGTTTATACTAATATAGGCCTATGTCAAGAAGAAAAATCTCAAATAACCTCACTTTTCACATAAGAGAAAAAGAAGAACAAAACCCAAACCCAGGAAATGGAATGAAATAAAAAAGGTCAGAGCAGCTTTAAATGATATACAAACTAAAAAAACCATTAGAACAGATCAATGAAACCAAGAGTTTGTTTTTTAAGATTTTATTTATTCTTTTGAGAGGTAGAGGAGAGCATGCATGCACGTGCATGAGCAGGGGAAGGGGCTGAGGGAGCAGCAGACTCCCCACTGAGCAGGGAGCCAGATGTGAGGCTCCATCCCAGGACCCTGAGATCATGGCCTGAGCTGAAGGCAGATGCCTAACTGACTGAGCCAGCCAGGTTTCTGTTTATTGCAGCATTATTTTCCAGAGCCAAACTATGGAAATAGCCAAATGCCCTCTGATAGCTGAATGGATGAAAAGTTGTATATATAAAATGGAATAACTGTCATAAAAAAGAATGACACCTTGCCATTTGCAATGACATGGATAGAAAGAATAATGTTAAGTGAAATAGAGAAAGACGAATACTATATGATTTCATTCATACGTGGAATTTAAGAAACAAAACAAATGAGCAAAGAAAAAAGAGACAAACCAAAAAACAGACTCTTAACTATAAAGAACACACTGATGGTTATCAGAAGGAGAATGGATGTGGGAATGCAGGAAAAAAAGGATTGGGATTAAAGTGTACACTGATCATGATGAAAACATAAAGTAAGATAAAATGAGTAAAAAGAACAAACACAATACTAAGTTGTAAACAGCTGTAAACGTCATCAGGATTTAGGAGGTAATCTGTCATCTACAACATGAGTGCTGTGTCAATGACAAGTAGTTGTTTTGTTTCTGATGAGAGATGACCGATAGCTGTAAGGCCTGTGAGAAACAATGCAAAGCATTATAAAGGAAGTTGTGGGTGTCAATTTACCGGAAAAAAATTAGGGTACAGAGAAGGGCTTCCTGTACGATGGCTAAAATAAAGCCCAGAGGCAAAGGATGATGGAGGTCAACAGAGTGTTCTCAGTGTGGGTCTGCATGATTGCCCCCTGATTTCTGCAATTCCCTTTCTCCTCTTTTCATTTAAAACTTTTTCTAAGTATTTTTAAAAAGTACTCATTTTCTATGCTCTTACAACTGATATAAAACTATTTTCCTTTAATTTATACTTAATTATGCTCTACTAATCATCCTGGTATTTATACTGCTTGCTGATTCTACCTCAGCAGCTTTAAAACTTAAGGTGCCAAGAAGGGCAGGACATGTAAAATTGTCCTAACAGTACTGACTCACAAGAATGACTCATATCTGGGAAATGCCAAATCAATAAGACATAATAAAGAATCTGTAATATCAGGCAAACTATGAAACCATTAATAAAAATGTCAAATCCCTCAAAAATAACAGTGTATCACAGCACTAAGGAAAGGAAAAGTCATCATATGTTTGGTATCTAAGAAACATTTCCAAAAAAGAAAAGAAAGATTGTCACAACAGGATATAAAATTAGTCCTTTCCAGAGTAAGCTACTGCTTTATAAAGTAGCTTTGAATGACTGCCTAATGCAATACACTGAAAACTTACAAGCAGAAAAGTGGTTTTCTTGTATAATTTGCAGATTCTAAATTCTCATAATTGTTTATAAGATGAAAGACATTTTTTCAGGGTCCCAAGAAATAAGAGCTTGTTTTTTTTTTTTTTTTTTAAGCTCTTATTTGTGGGGAGGAGGGGGGGAAGCTCTTGTCAATTCAGTTTTGATGGATCCTATTTTTCTCATATTAACTGATCCTTCAATACCTTAGCTTACAAAAACAGGGTAAACTTTATTAATCTGATAATATATACAACTGAAATTGTTAAAGACTGAATTAATGATCAGATTTTTTTTAATCCTCTAGTTTTAATTAGAAAGAGAAAAGGGGAAATAAAGAGGAAATGTTGTTGTAAAGAGGCACAATACTTTTCCAGAATGGATTAAAGTCCTCTTAAAATGGAATGGAATAACATATTATCAGTTTTCAAAATATAATTCAAATATTTAAAGTAATCAAAATCAAAGAAAACAGAGAAAACCGGTGTCTACATGCTGCCATCTATATACATTCCTACCTATTCTCTGTCTCTAGCTCATTCTTGCGCAGATTTGCATCATCCAGAAGGCTCTGCAATAAGGCGATTTTTTCATTGTCTGAACCCTCTTGGTTAATTTTTAACATCTTATTCTCATGTTGAAGACGAATAAGTTTCTCCCTAAATTAGCAAAAAAAAAAAAAAAAAAAAAAAAAGCCTGATTATGTGGCACATCAAAACAATATCGTTATAAAATCCAGCTATGCACAATTACAGATTTAATACAAAGGACAGAAATGAAAAACAAAATACCTGCAAAGAATTTAGCTCTTGTAACTGGCTAAGACATTACATTTCAGGTCTTGAGTACTTTCTTTTCAGAATGAATAATCTGAAGATAACAGCATCCAAACATCCAAATACCATGATTTGTAATGAATGATATCAAAAATTTTTTTCTTTTTGGTTTAAATGTTTAAGCTAGGAGTGCATTGAGTGCATATTTGTTCTTTGGTTTGTATCCAAAAATACAATCTCTAATGCTTTGCTCTTGAAATGCCAATTACTTGGTGTCAAGATATAATATTCAATAAAGAATGCCTTCAAGATATGCAGTCCCCCCATTCCAATAAAAATGTTAAATTGTATTCTTGCTAACAAGCTGTATTATCAGAGCTTATCTGCTATTTACACTTATTCACAATCTTTTCATATCATTAAATATTATGTTAATGATAATACTTTAAATGACAAGTTAAACAATATGGATGAATTGTTATTTATTTAATCAATACCCAATTATTTCAAATTTGACTGTTACTAATTCTGAGCTTTAACATGCTAGTAATAATCAGCTTTATTGGTTATTTCCTTAGGATTAATTTCTAGAAAGGTGACTTAAGGGTTGAGACACAGGCACATTTAAGATTTATTTATTTATTTATTTTTGTGTGAGAGAGGAGAGAGAGAGCGAGAGTGAGAGAACACAAACAAAAGGGCAGAGAGAAAAGCAGACTCCCATTAAGCAGGGAGCCTGACATGGGGCTTGATCCCAGGATCCTGAGATCATGACGTGAGCTGCAGGCAGATGCTTAACCGAGTCACCCAAGCACTGAAGAGATAGGCACCTTTGTAGATAATATCCACATTCTGCCAAACTGCTCAAAGGAAAAGTTGTATCACCACAAGAGGAAAAAAAAAAAAGAATTATGTGTGGTGATGTTAACTAAACTTACTGTGGTGATCGTTTCACATTATAGGCATATATGAAATCATCATGGGGACACCTGGGTGGCTCAGTGGTTGAACGTCTGTCTTTGGCTCAAGGCGTGATCCCGGAGGTCCGGGATCAGGTCCCACATTGGGCTCCCTGCATGGAGCCTGCTTCTCCCTCTGCCTTTGTCTCTGCCTCTCCGTTGTCTCTCATGAATAAATAAATAAAATTTAAAAAAAATCATGTTGTACACCTTCAACTAAAACAATATTGTATCTCATCTCTTTTACCATTTCATTTTCTTGACAGCTCTTCGGGAAACAGTATATTTAAATTTGTACTGAGTCATTCTCAAAAAAAGCCATTTTATTTGTTGAATCTTTATCATTTTTCTTTTCCTCAGGTTAAAAATCCAACTGCATAACCTAAAAGCCTCCTTGTTTTAATTTTTATTTATTTCTTTATTAATGAATAGAGGAGGCATACATGTATGAGTGCGAGGAGGGGGAGAGGGAAGAGAGAATCTTAACCAGATTCCACACCTAACATAGAGCCTGACACAAGGCTTGAGCCCATGACCCTAAGATCATGATTTGCTGAGTGGAAATTTAGAGTCAGACACTTATCTGACTGAGCCACCCAGGTCCCCCGCCAAAAAAAATTGTTTTTTTTTTTTTTTTTTTTTGTAAAGCCATGTACTTAGAAGCATTTATAAATAATAAATGTTCATTCATTCTACAAATATTATTCCTCCAAAAATGAAGTACCACATCAGATGGTAGAAAAGTGAAATATACAAGGTGCTTCCAGTGTTGGTGTTGCAGTATACTCCTTTTGTTTATCCTCCTTAAATAAATGCCAACAACATAAGAGTTTTCATTTATTATTATTCATTTACAGTATATATAAATAATGTCATTTATATATACTGAATGTCTATGGTAACTTTCAGAGTTCATAAAGTTCTCAGACAACCATTATTTCATTTAATACCCTCAAAAATGTTATGAAAAATCAAGACCAATGTCTATTTTAAATGGGGGCAAACAGTCCCAAAGAAGGTAAACCAATATTCAGGGTTAATCATTCTCCTTCTGCTGGATACTTGGTGCTTCTCCCCCTAACTTTTCATTCTTACATATCAAGCCATATATTAAAATAAACAGAATTTTAAAAACACTATGACTAAATAAGAATGTAAGGTAATATTAAGGGAAGAGTAGTAGAAATGGGGATATACTTCTGTCTACTCCAATATAGCTTTCCCAGACCATTTCATGCAGTTAATAGATAAAATATTTTTTTTAAAGATTTTTATTTATTCATGAGAGATACAGAGAGAGAGAGGCTGAAATACATGCAGAGGGAAAAGCAGGCTCCACGCAAGGAGCCCAATGTGGGACTCAATCCCGGGACTCCAGGATCATGCCCCAGGCCAAAGGCAGGCACCCAACCACTGTGCCACCCAGGCGTCCCAAAAGATAAATATTAATGACTAATTACTTCACAGGCTGTTGGTTAGGCATAACCTTTGTCTTTTTTTTTTTTAAAGATTTATTTATTTATTTACTTATTTATTCATAGAGACACACACAGAGAGAGGCAGAGACACAGGCAGAGGGAGAAGCAGGCTCCATGCAGGGAGCCCGACGCAGGACTCGATCCCGGGTCTCCAGGATCATGCCCCGGGCTGTAGGCAGCGCTAAACCACTGCGCCACTGGGGCTGCCCATAACCTTTGTCTTTAAGCCAAATGTTTTCACTGCTAAATATCTGCTAAGGATACCCAACCACGAATATGTGGGTTTGCTATGAATATGTGAAAAACTGTCCTACTGAAGTGGGACAATCAAGTCTCTTGCGCCAAATTAAGAAAGCTTCTAACATGCTGAAAACATGGACATTAAATACTGAGTTCATGTTGAAAGTGTCAGTAATAATAAGAAAGTGATCCTTGGAGGGGTGCCTGGATGGCTCAGCCAGTTCAAACGGCTGCCTTTGGCTCGGGTCATGATCCTGGGGTCCTGAGATGGAGCCCCACGTCAGGCTCCCTGCTCAGCGGAGAGTCTGGTGCTCAGCGGAGAGTCTGCTTCTCCCTCAGCTGCTCCCCCTGCTTCTGCTCTCTCTCAAATATATAAATAAAATATTTAGAAAAACCTGATCCTCTTTATATTGTAGAGGGGTTAAGTTTCCTCCAGGAATGTTACACAATACAACTGTATTTCATGATCTCCTTACCTGATTTCAGGTGTAACAATCTCTGCTGCCAGACTATCTGAAGATTCTTGACTTCCCAGAGGCATTAAGCCTATAAATATACAAACATTGATACAAGGTTTAAGAGAGAGACGAAATCAGACAAACTATAAAGGACTCTTAATCATAGAAAACAAACTGAGGGTTGTTGGAGTAGAGGTGGGTGAAGGGATTGGGTAACTGGGTGATGGACATGAAGGAGGGCACGTGATGTAGTGAGCAGCGGGTGTTATATAAGACGGATGAGTCACTGGCTCTGCCTCTGAAATCGATATTATACATTAATTAACTGAATTTAAATTTAAAAAATATAAAAGTAAAATAAAGAGAAAGCACATTGATTTCCTTTAGTTTTACATGAAACCTTACTTTAAGCATTAATTTTAACATTTAGAATCTTCATTTTAGTTAAGTAAAAGACCATACAAGTTGCCTTATGTTATCATCATCATTTTAACCATTTTGAAGTGTACAAATGAGTGGCAGCAACTACATTCATTATGCTGTGGAACCACCACCACTACCTATTTCCAAACTCTTCACCCCAAAACATAAATTTTGTAACCATTAAATAACTCCCTACTCTGTTCTTCCTTAGCCCCCATAACCTTTATTATACTTTCTGTCTCTCAATGAACCTGAACAGCCTAGATACCTCATATAAGTGCGACAATACCAGTATTTATCCTTCAGTGCCTGAGTTACTTTGCTTAGCGTAATGTTTCCCTCCCCTCCCCTCCCTCCCTCTCTCTCTTTCTTTCTCTCTTTCTTTCTCTCTCTCTCTCTCTCTTTCTTTCTATCTTTCTGTGGTTTAGGTTTTATTTCATCATCATAAACTGAACTCTGCAATCCAGCTAGACCTGGGGAAAGGAACCACGGAGTCCGCAGAACTGCAGTGAGAGTGCAGAGACTCTGGGCTATTTCAAGCAGGTGGGGGTGGAGGGGCACTCTCCTGAGCTAAAGGAATGGTCTGGAAGTTCAGATAAAACAGGAGTTAGATTAATCAGATCTGTCCACAGTCGGCGATGGTGATCTTCTTGCTGGTCTTGCCATTCCTGGACCCGAAGCGCTCCATGGCTTCCACAATGTTCATGCCCACCTTGACCTTGCCAAAAACCACATGCTTGCCGTCCAACCACTCAGTCTTGGCGGCGCAGATGAAAAACTGGGAACGGTTTGTGTTGGGTCCAGCGTTGGCCATGGACAAGATGCCAGGCCCCATGTGCTTCAGGATGAAGTTCTTGTCATCAAACTTCTCCCCGTAGATGGACTTGCCCCAAGTGCCATTGTGGTGTGTGAAGTCCCCACCCTGGCACATAAATCCTGGGATAATCCTGTGAAAGCAGGAACCTTTGTAACCGAATCCCTTCTCTCCAGTACTCAGAGCAAGAAAGTTCTCTGCTGTCTTTGGAACTTTGTCTGCAAACAGCTCGAAGGAGACGTGGCCCAAAGGTTCGCCGTCCATGGCGATGTCAAAGAACACGGTGGGGTTGACCATGGCTGGACGGTGAAGGGCGGCTCCGGGGCGGCGGCGTCTGCCAGTTTAATGTTTTCAAATCTCAAATGTGTAGCAGAATTTACCAGAACTTCATTCCTTTTCATGACCAAATAATACCCATTACACAACGACATTTTGATTTTCTTGAACCATTCATCTGCTGAGGAACATTTAGGTTGTTTCCATCTTTTGGGTATTGTGAACTAGCATCTGCTTGAGTACTTTTTCATTTTTAAATTCTTTTGGATATTTACTTTGAAATGGAATTGCTGGATCATACGGTACGTTTAACTTATTAAAGAACTGAACTCTTCCACCAGAGGCTCCCCATTTTACATTCCTTACAGCAATGTTCCAATTTCTCCATGTGACTCCCAAGAATTATTTTTCTTTCTCTTTTTTGGGTAATAATCCATTCCAAATGGGTAAGAACCATCTCACTGTGGTTTTGATTTGCATTTCTCTAACGATGTTGATATTGAGCATCTTTTCATGTGCTTTTTGGCCATTTGTGTATATTCTTTGGAGAAATATCTATTCAAGTCCCTTGACGATTTGTGAGCTTAGTTGTTTTTTGCTGTTGTTGAGTTGTATAAATTCCTTATATATTCTGGATATCAATCACTTATTAAATATAGGATTCACAAATATTTTCTCCCCATTTTATGGGTTGCCCTTCCACTATCTGGGCTCTCTGTTCTATTCCATTAGTTTATAGGTCTGTCCTTATACCCATAGCCACTGCTTTGATTGCTACCATTTTATTAAGTTTTGAAATAATTAGGGTGAATTCTCCAACTTTTTTTTTTCAAGACTATTTTGGCTAACCTGAGTCTCTTGACATTCCATATGCATTTTAGGATGGGTTTTTCTTTTATTTTTAAAGATTTTGTTTATTTACTCATGCAAGACACAGAGACATAGGTAGAGGGAGAAGCAGGCTCCCTTTGGCGAGCCCAATATGGGACTCAGTCCCAGGACCCCAGGATCACGACCTGAGCCAAAGGCAGACACTCAACCACTGAACCACCCAGGTCCTCCTAGGATAAGTTTTTCTATTTCTGCAAAAAAAAAAAAAAAAAAAGCCAATAATATTTTAATAAGGATTGCACTGAATCATCTCAACAATAGGTTTATAGTTTTCAGGGTGCAAGGCTTGCCTCCTTGGTTAAATTTATTCCCAAGTATTTTATTCTTTTTGATCTTATTGTAAATAAACTTTTCTTAATTTCTTTTGTATTGTTCATTATTAGTGTGCGCACATAGAATTATTTTTGCAGCTAACGTAACTGAGTTGTCTCCTCAAACTTTGCTGAATTCATTTGATTAGTTCTAATAGGTATTTTTTTTGCTTTGGTGATCATGCCATCTGCAGAGATAGTTTTAGCTCTTCCTTTCCAATTGACTTAAAAAAATTTTTTGGTCTAATTGCTCTGGCTAGAACATGCTGTGCTCTGTTGAATAGAAGTACAGAAGTTGTAGTAGCTGGTATCATTCATTGTCTTGCTTCTGATTTTAGAGGTAAAGCTTTCAGTCTTTTATCACTGAGTATGATGTGCACCATGGGTTTTTCATATATGGCCTTTACTGTGTTGTGGAAATTTCCTTTCTAGTTGTCCTTCTAACTTATTGAGGCTTTTCATGTTTTTTTGTGTGTATGTTTTACGATGAAAGGTGTTAGATTTTGTCAAATGCCTTTTCTGCATCAATTGATCAGGTGTTTTTTTCCTCCATTCTATTCATGTGGTATACTATATTGATCTCTAGATGTTTATCCTTATGTGAATTCCATGTTTTTCAATTATTGTAGCTCTATAGTAAGTTCTGAAATCAGAATGTGTGGGTTCTTCAACCTTTTGCTTTCCAAGACTTTTTTTTTTGGTTTTTAGCTCCTTGGTATTTTCATACAAATTGTTGGATCAGCTTGTCAATTTCTATAAAAGAAGTCTGCATAGAATTTGATTGGGATTATACTGAATCTTTATTTTTTTTTAAATATTTTTTTTTATTTTTTTAAATTTTTTCTTAATTTTTATTTATTTATGATAGTCACAGAGAGAGAGAGGGAGAGAGGCAGAGACATAGGCAGAGGGAGAAGCTGGCTCCATGCACCAGGAGCCCGATGTGGGATTCGATCCCGGGTCTCCAGGATCACGCCCTGGGCCAAAGGCAGGCGCTAAACCACTGCGCCACCGAGGGATCCCTATACTGAATCTTTAAATTAATAAAGAGAACTGCAATCTTAACTAGAGTGAACTTTCTGATACCTGAACATGGACTATTTCTCCATATATCTAGATCTTTATCTTGGCAATGATTTATACTTTTCGGTGTACAAGTCTTAACACTTCTTTGTTAAACCTATTCCTGAGCATTTTATTCTTTATGATACTACTGTAATTCCATTTTCTGTTTACTGGGAGTACACAGAAATATAACTGGATTTATTATTATTATTATTTTAAATATTTTATTTATTTATTCATGAGAGACACAGAGAGAGAGGCAGAGACATAGGTAGAGGGAGAAGCAGGCTCACCACGGGAAGCCCGGTATGGGACTTGATCCCAGGACCCCGGGATCACCACCTGAGCCAAAGGCAGGCGCTCAACCACTGAGCCACCCAGGCACCCCTATAACTGGATTTATATACTGACCTTGTATCTTGAGACTTTGCTGAACTCATTTACTAGTTCTATGGTATTTTTTTTTTTTTTACATCCTCCTTTCCAATTCGACTGCATTTCTTTTTCTTGCCTGACTGCACTGCTTAGAACCTCTGATACCATGGTGAATAGAAATGGCAAGGTGTCCTTATATGCACCCTTACACTTACTGTAGCATTATTTACAACAGCCAAATTATGGAAGCAACCCACATGTCACTAATAGATAAATGGATAAAGAAGAGGTGGTATATATACACAATGGAATGTTATTTGGCCATAAAAAAGAACAAAATATTGCCATTTGCAACAACGCGGATGGAACTACAGTATAATGCTAAAATTCTCTCTCTCCCTCTGTCCTTCCTTGCCCTCACTCTTGCTCAAAAAAAAAAAAGAAAAAAAAAAAAAGACTCTTACTTAACCCCAGAGAATAGATGGGTTACCAGAGGGAAGGTGGGTTGGGGGGGGATGGAAAAAATAAGTAATGGTGATTAAGAAACACACTTATCTTGATGAGCACTGATGTACAGAATTATTGATTTCACTATATTTAGTAAGTAATAACAACAAGATAGAAAAAAAAAAGAGTGATCATTCTTGTCTTGTTTCTGATCTTAGAGGAAAAGCATTTAGTATTCATCCTAAGTATGATGTTAGCTATAGGTTTTACATAGCCATCCTTTATTAGGTTGAGGAAGTTTCCTCCTATTCTTAACTTGCCAAGAGTGTTTATTACAATGTCACTAACTTTTTTTTTGTAAGATTTTATTTATTTATTCATGAAAGACACAGAGAGAGGCAGAGACACAGGCAGAGGGAGAAGCCAGGCTCCATGCAGGGAGCCCAACGTGGGACTCAATCCTGGGTCTCCAGGATCACATCCTAGGTTGAAGGTGGCGCTAAACCGCTGAGCCACCCAGGCTGCCCGATGTCACTAACTTCTTAAACTTAATGATACTACATACACAACTCTCCATGTCAAATATATAAGATATACTTCATTCTTTTCAATGGCCCTCCAGTATACAGTTGAATAAGACTGCTAACTTTTAGGCTGTTTCTAAATTTCACTATTATAAACAATGCTTTAACTCATTAGGGTAAATTTTTAGAGCAAAATTGCTAGGTCAACAACATACACATAAATAAGGTTAAAACATAGGTTTATAGGTGGCAAAGAAACAAATGTGTAAGTCTACATAAGATGGTCTATCTTGATGACAAAGGAGCTGAGAGTTAAAGAATTAAGGCTTAGTCTGATTCTTAAAATTTTGGGAAAACTCATACAGTTGATTAGAGATAAATGAAAGGATTACCAAGCAGCAACAAGAATCCAATTACATTCAGAAATAATTTTTTTTGTGTGAAGACATATATAATATATAAACAACTCTAGTACTATTTTAAACTAAAAGCCTTTACACAGCAAAGAAAACTATGAATAAGGGATGCTGGGTGGCTCAGCAGTTGGGTGGCTGCCTTCAGCTCAGGCCCTAATCCCAGGATCCAGGATTGAGTCCCACAACGGGCTCCCTGTGAGGAGCCTACTTCTCCCTCTGCCTATGTCTCTGCCTACCTATCTCTGTGTCTCTCATGAATAAATAATTTTTTTTTTTAAAAGGAAACTATGAACAAGAGGAAAAGGCAACGTACTAAATGGAAGAAAATATTTCTAAACCATACATCTGATAAGGGGTTAATATCAAAAACAGAGAACTCATACAACTCAACTGCAAAAGCAACAATTAAGAAATGGGCAGAAGATCTGAATACACATTTTTATAAAGAAGACAAACAGATGGCCATCAGACACATGAAAAGATGCTCAACATCACTCATTATAAGGGAGATGAAAATCAAAACCGTAGCCTCAAAACAATGAGATGACAATGAGAGGTCACCTGACACCTGTTAGAACAGCTGTTATCCAAAGGACAAGAGTTAAAAAGTCGTGCTGATATGGACTAGGAAACCCCTGTGCACTGCTGGTGGGAACGTAATTTGGTACAGCCAATATGGAAAACAGTATGAAGTTTCTTACAAAATTAAAAATAGAAATGCCATATGATCCAGCAATTGCTCTTCTGGGAATTTATCCATAGAAAATGAAAATACTACCTTGAAAAGATAACTATGCCCTCATTATTTACAATAGTTAAGACATGGAAACAACCTAAGTTTCCATCAATTGATAAATGGATAAACAAATTGTGGAGTGTGTGTATAACATATATACATATATAATTTATATTTATATATTATATATATATTTATTATTTACCCACGAAAAGAATGAAATCTTGCCATTTGTTGATATTTTATACACCTTGAGAGAGCATTATGCTAGCTGAAATAACTCAGACATAGAAAGACAAATACTGTGTGATCTGACTTGTATGTGGAATCTAAAGACAAAACAAAACAAAAAAACAAGAACACAAAAACACCCAGCTAACATACAGAGAACTGATTGGCAGTTGCCAGAAGTAGGATATGGGGGGGTAGGCAAAATGGGTGGAGTCGAAAGGTACAAACTTCCAGATACAAAGCAAGTCACAAGGATGTAATGTACAGCATGGTGACTATAGTTAATAATAATGCATATCTGAAAGTTGCTGAGAGTAGATCTTAAAAGTTCTCATCATAAGAGAAACAAATTTCATAACTATACATGATTGATGTCAATTAACCTTTGTGTGGTGATCATTTCACAGTATATACAAATATCAAATCATTAGGTTGTATACCTGAAACTAACATAATGTTATATATGTCAATTGTACCTTCATTAAAAAAAAGAAAAAATGAGAAAGATATGTAACTGTCTTTAGCTGGCCCTGGTTAATTTGCAATAGAGAAAAAAAAACTTTTGGGTATCTGAAGCGGGTCTGACAAGCTTTCAGCATAAGGAAAAATGGTGGCGATGAGGACACAGTTAAAATGGCTGCTGGGCAGGCTGAGTAAGCTGGAAAATGAGGCCACAAGAGAGCTGTCCAATTAGCAATAGAAACAACAACGAGGGGTTAAAGGCAAAATGCAGTGGGTAGAAGGAATGAGGAGAAAAAGGAGGGTATAGTCAGAGGAAAGGAAGAATCCCAGTTTTGGGTAACTGAAAAGTCAAGGGCTGGTTATTAGTGCAGGAATGAACAAACTGTGAAGCTGAACAAGTCACTGTTCATGCTCCACATCTGCCAGCATGACGACAGAAGCGGTAGGGACTAACTCTGAGCTAAGCGCTGCTTCTCTCCTGTGAGAAGAGCAGAATTCTACCTGAGACAGAAGCCCTGGAATGCACTAATAGCCACTCCACATTTCAAGTGGAAAAAAAAAAAAAAACCAACACTGACTTAGAAAGCTTGAGGTCAAAAGCAACTTTCTAGAATAGGGACGCCTAAGTGGTTCAGTCAATTAAGCATCTGCCTTTGACTTAGGTCATGGTCCTAAGACCAAGTCCCACTCAGGCTTCCTGCTCAGTGGGGAGCCTGTCTCTCCCTCTGCCTCTGCTGCTCCTTCTGCTTATGCTCTCTCTCTCTTAAATAAATAAATAAAATCTTAAAAAAACAAAAAACAAAACCAACTTTCCATAATAAAACTTTCCAGGTTTATTATTAACACAGATGATTTAACAAATGTTTATGCTTTTGATCTAATAAAGTTCAAATATTTAAACACAATTTAAACAAAGTAGGAAAGTAAATCTGGTCTCATAACTTGCCCTATTTGCCATAAAATATGGCAAGACTTTAGAATTTCTATCAACCTCATGGCCTGTTCACTAATTTTTCATTTTCATCCATTGGTGCAAGTACCTTAAAATGAATCTAAAATCTCTCCCTTTTTTTTTAATTTATGTATTTTAGAGAAAGAGAGCACGCAAACAGGGGGAGGGCAGAGATAGAAACCTTAAGCAGAATCCTTGCTGACCGTGGAGCCCAACGTGGGGCTTGATCCCAGGACATTGAGATCATGACCTGAACCAAAATCAAGAATTGGCCACTTACCCAGCTGAGCCACCCAGGTGCCCCTGAATCTAAAATTTCTACTGATACCATAAGAAATTAGTAATCTTGCTTAGGGCTAATGCAGTATTTTCACCTTGAGTTGTGAGCTGTCCTTCTTGAGCCTGTACACAACGAAGTTCTTCAATGGTTTCCTTCAGAGAATCCCTTTCCGTTCTTAACCTCTGGAGGAATATTAAAAAGAAGGAAAATTAGCTTTAAGTTTTATGAATTTATTCATCAGGGTCTTTACCTTACCTAAGATAATGGTGAACAGCAGGGAAAATGGGCATGGTTCACCTTTTGATCTTCCATTAAAAAATCATAAAAGGAAAAAATTACAACAAACTTTTTCCCATTTAACAATAATGAATATCTACAATGTGCAAGGCAGTATGTTATCCACAGTTAAACATAAGAAATATAAGTGTCTACTCTGTCATTAACAGAAGTACATTACATAAATAACATTCCCTTCATAGACATAAAACAATCAAACAGCAAAGACTTTAAATATTCATAAACCATTAAAAAGTAAAAATATTTGGGCAGCCCAGGTGGCTCAGCGGTTTAGCACCACCTTCAGTCCAGGGTGTGATCCTGGACACCCGGGATCGAGTCCCACGTCAGGCTCCCTGCATGGAGCCTGCTTCTCCCTCTGCCTGTGTCTGTGCCTCTCTCTCTGTGTCATTCATGAATAAATAAATAAAATCTTAAAAAAAAGAGTAAAAATATTTTAAAAGATTCAAAATATGCTAAACAAAAAGAATTGGGTCCTCTGTATTAATTCTACAGAAAACAGAAAACACCTATTTATAGAAAGTCATGAGTAGAACAATGTATAAGAAGTTAACAGTGGTAGAAAACATAAAAATATACAAAAGAAATTAGAATGGAAGTAAAAATATTCTTTTACTCTTTTAGATTTATTCCTGAAACAAAAATGTAAATCTTGTATAATTTAAAAACAAACAGGAATTCTCATTTTAAAATTTACAAACAGAAGGAATTAATGTAGTCAAAACATGAATTAGATATCATTGTTTTAATTTTAGCAGCGTTCAAAACCAAAATGTCTTATACTCACATCCTTTTCTTTTTGAAGACTGTCAACCTTTTCTTTTAGCCGCTTATATTCAAAATCTAATTTATCTGCTTTCTTCGATTCTTCAGATAATCTATTTTGTAGTTCTACTACCTGATTCAGAAAGGTACCATTAATTTGTGTAATTTGAAACATTAAAATGTTCATTATTTTCTTCTGCAGAGCTATGAAACTTCCTCCCCCACATATACTCAAAAACATGTGTATGATATAGCAGCCTACCCTAACAGAGAGAACTAGTAACAAAAATCTGCTCAGACATTACAGGTTCTAAAACCAGAATATCCGGAATAGCAATGTACAAAACTATGAAAGAACTATTAGCTGGAAAAATCAGTAAGGAAGCTTGCCTGTCTTAAAGTGAGAGCTCTGGGTTTAATGAAGAGTAACTTGAAATTTCAATTCTAACTATGGCCTGCCACTATGTAAATTTGTTTCCATTTCTACCACATGCCTTATCTGGCAAATCCTAACGCAAGCAATTAATTTAAAGTAATCTTGGTTGACAGTGCTGTGAAAAATCTAGCAAAAACAGAACATATGTTGTCTGGAGAAACGCAACATCAGCCCCAACCCTCCAAGTATTCCCGAAGATAAAGGTGAGCCAAATGAAAGAGCAAAGGCTATAAAGAAGTCCCTATGAACACCAGCTAGAAAACCAGTAACAGAAACAACAACAACAAAATAGCAGAACAAGACCTATAAAGATTCTAGATTGGAATTATCAGTTACAAAATATGAGGTTTAATAAGTAAAGAAAAAAAAGACAAATCAAAATTATGAAAGGGAAAGGCAGGTGTGAAAGAACACTTAAAGAGAACTTGTGGAAAGAAAAACGCTATCACTGAAAAACAAAGTATATTAAGCCACAGATCAAAACGGGCAGAGAGAATTCATGTATAGAATTGTACTGCAATATTTCTTGTTGTAGATTCCTATGTATTTTGTTTGTAATTCATTGCTAATACTATCTCTGGTGTCCTTTAGTTCCAAACCAAAGTTCAGGCATTCTTTTCTTCAAATAATGTCTTTCTGTAATTCTTGCTGTTCTCTCTTCTGAAAATCTAAATCATCTCATTTTAATGTTTTTAGATTTCACATACAGTTTCTCTAGGGTTTATTTATTTTGGTTAATTTCTCAGTCCACATTCAAGTTCACTAATTCTTTCAACTTTATTGTATGTTGAAAATTTCATAATAAAATATTAAGTAGAAATGTATCCAGCAAAAAAACTTGGGGTGTATAGAGCTGTTCAACTAAAACTTCTTCAACTCATTTTAAGCTAAAATATAGTTTTGATGCCAAAATCAGATCAGGAAAGTATGAGATAGAAAACTTCAAGTGAATCATAGGGGAAAAAGATTCTAAGTAAAATGAACAAAGCAAATCTAACAATGTGAAAACAATAATCTGCAGTAACTCTACGAGGTTTAAATCAGGAATACAAAGATGGTTTAAGCATCAATATCAGTTAATATAACTCATCACATTCATAGAAAGGGGAAGCAGTATAGGAGTCTCTCCATAGTGCAGGAAAAGGAGTTCATTAAATTCAACATCCATTTAAGATAGACACTCTGAGTAAAATGTGCTAATAATATACTGGAAAACATTTAAAGCATTCTGTACAAAATAGACAAGAAATGATTGCCTACTACAATTACTTCTATTCATACTTGTATTATAGGTCAAACATGCTGATTAAGAAGGAAAAAAAGGGTATGGAGTAGAAAGAAACAAGACTGCTTTCATTTGTATATGACTTCTGATGAGAGATCCTACAGACATCAGAGTAATATGAAATGCTGGCATAGTTGTAAAATGAACATAACAATCAATTTCAATCATATAAATGAGCAACAAATGGAAAATGGTATTTCTTTTGCTAATCACAGTTACAAAATCTGAAGGTACCTAAGAGTAAATATAACAAAATATGTCTATGACAGTTAGAATTATAAAACTTAGCTGAAAGACATTGAAGACCTAAACAAATGTAAAGATATATTCACCAATAGAAACATTCATTGCCATAAAGATGTCAATTCTCCCTAAATTATCGATAGAGTCAATGTAATTCCAATTCCCAAAGGTTTGGGGTATAAAAGGGAAAGAAAAGGTCTCATAGACAGTTTTGAAAAAGAATGAGATGTGGGGGTATATATTATCAAATATCAAAATTATTAAAAATATATAGATAATAAGATTGTGGAGTGTTGATGTAAGAGTAGACAAACCAATGAAAGAGAAGAGAGTGCCAAGAAACAAATTTAAGATGGAATCTTCAGGTGTGTGATAGAATAGAATTGCAGGTCCTTGTGGAAAAGACTATTAAATAAATGCCAATCGGGTGACTGGTTGCATACACAGAGAATAAAATATCAAATGGATCCATAATCTAGCATCCTATACAAAAACTAATTCCATGTGGATAAAAGACCTAATTGAGCAAAACAAACTAAATCTTTGTTAAGAAAATAGAGATTAGCTTACATCTTTATATAGGAAATGACTTAAGACATAAATGGCATAAGTCATAAAAGGATATTTAAAGTTCATAATCTTAAAATTAATCTCAAAAAAAGTAAAAAGGTTACAGATTGGCAGGAAATAAATGCAGCAAGTGTAATTGACAAAATATTAATAGCAAAACATATAAAGAAGTTTCAGAAATCAGTAAGAAAAAATACAAGTTTTAAAACGAATAAAAGATTTAAAATGGGCCATTCACAAAATAATTGTGATCATTAAAATATATTTGTAATTAGGGTAATGCAAAGTATAATCATGAAGAGACACTATTTCATACTCATCCAATTGGCACAATTTCAAGTTTGACAATACTATGTGTTGGTGATAATGTGGAAAGATAGGAATTCATAAAATCTTGTTTAGTAATACAATCACTTCAAAGAACAATTTATCTAATTAAATGAAGACACTCTAAAGAAGAAACTCCTTATAGCTGAAAAACTTTTACACATGTATAGAGGAGTACAGGTTCGATAACATGCAAAGTGGCACTTCTTATAATTTAAAAAAAAAAAAAAAAGGGCTGAAACATCCTATGTGTCCTTCAACAGGAAAATGGATAAATTGTGGTATGGTGACTAAACAGGATACCGTAGTGGTACAAATGAACTGAATAAAGCTGTACTTATCATCATAAACAAATTTCCCAAATATACTGAACAAAGTAAATCACAGACGAGGCCTTATATCATTTATATAGCTTTGAACCATGCAAAGATGTTATACATTTTATATATATATATATGTATATATATATATTACATATATATATATATGAACTAATATATGCACCAGATGAAAAAAAAAAGATGCAAAGGAATGAAAACTACAAAATAGCACAGTGGTTACTATATTGGGGAGGGTACGAGTCTTTTATTTTTTAAGCATAGATACTTGCATTACTATTTTACTTTTGCGTATTTCGTAAAACATAATAATTTAAAAATAAACAACAGGATCTGCTAGAGACACTAATCAATAACCTCTGGATAACAACTAAGTTTGAATGTTAACTATACTGGAATTAAAAACTTAGAAAAAAACAAACAAATCTAAGTTTCATAGGTTAAAAAACAAAAAACAATACTGTGAAAACAAAATAAGTGGATTTCTGGTGAGCCACAGTGTTATAATGGAGAACCTGCTTGAAAACATCATTAAGAAACTCGGTTACTATTCTTTTTACCTGTCTCTTATATGTCTCAAGTTGACTTCGAGCTGCATTGGCTTTTCTTAACTCTTCCTCTAGACTGACAGTGTTCTGCATATACATAGTATTCTTTTCTTCTAAGAGTTTAACCTGACGCCTCAAATCACCAAGATCTTCTAGCTTCTTTTTATATGATTCCACTTGGCCTTCTAGTTTAGATACTTTATCAGAAGAATGTCTAGAATGAGATGGGAAATCAGAAATCAGAAACACATCCTGAGCTGTAAAGCTGTTTCAATAGTGCTAACCCAAGAGGGACTGCCAGAAAAGAACACATTCTAATGAAATTATAAGACCAAAGGTGATTCTAGATTGTTTTTGTTCAGGCAAAAAAATATGACCAAAATTATAGCAAAGTGTATAATGGAGAATGTTATGTAATTTAAGGAAAGCAAGTGGTAGTGATAGTGTTTGGGGGCAGGATGGGTAACCAGCAGAGTCACATGTAGCACAACAGCAAAATAAATCGTGCAGAGTCCAAGTGATGTGGCAATTAGAATGTTATTCGTGACCACAGGAACAGCTATTTCATGGAACAGTGGAGCGGGAGGTGGCAAATTTTAGAGAGTTAAGGAGACAATGTAAATTTCACCTTATGTCATCTAAATTTGTTCTGGAGGGAAGGAGAGAGTAATAAGTCTTTTCTCCTAAGAGGAGAGAGACCTAAACATAAAAATATACGCTAAAGTGAGAGATCCAAACAAAGAGAAATGATGACTGATGTAACACAGTCTTTGTGTGAGCAAGAAATGTTGAGACCCAAAGCCCTGAAAAAGAGAAAGAATAACAAGTCTACATTCTAAAAGCAAAAATGAAAAGATGGGTGGGAATGCGGAGCAGTTAGGAGGTACAGGAAGTATAGGACATGGAGAGTCCACAGCTCATAGCTTCTTTCCTTGATGCAGTTGGAGACAATGTCATCTACTGACACTAAGGCATGGAGAGGTGTGGGGGGTGGGTGTCCAGGTGAGAAGTTATGGACATATGTACTAGCTATGAGAGAAATGGGAGACAGAAATATCTGTCATGAGCGGCAGAATGGTGGACCACAGGGAAGAACCCAACGAAGAGTGAAGATCATGAATTTGTAGCAGGACAAAACTATATCACTGTGTGATTTTCTCTACTCATTCTTAGTATTCAAAGAGCAAAAGTAAAAATGGCTGGAATGACCCAACAGAGGATAAATTATACAAGTGTAATGGTCAGAAAACGAGGTGGCAGGGAGTGAAGGCACTTAGTGAGAGAACAGGCAAGTGCAGATAAAACAGTCCAGCAAGGAAATGACGCATCATGGGTGTGACAGCATCCGAGCAAGAGGAAGACTGAATGACCAGGCCGACTTGAAATTAATTAAAGAAAAGGAGTCATAGTAAGAAAAGCTCCAGAGCTATACAAGTATGAAGTGATAGTCAGAGATTAATTTCTATTTAACAAACATTTATAACACTTAATTGCCAGATACTGTTTCAACTGTTCACAAATATAAACTCAGTTCTGCATGTGAATCTGAGATAGGTATGTGTATCATCTCCATTTTACAGATGAGAAAATGGTTACACAGAGATTAATAAGTAAATGGTAGCATTGGACTCTGAACTCAGGTAGTCCAGCTCTTAAACATCCTGCTATGCTCAGGGATCCTAGAGTTTGTAACATCATTGGTAGAGCTGTTCTGGGTGATGACAGGCATGAGAGTCCAACAAAATGGGAAGACTGTTTACCTAAGAACATCTATTTCATCTTTCAGAGACTGAGCTTCATCTGCCAAAGTGGTTAGTTCATCATTCTGTTGCCGAAGTTCAGAGATTTCCTTTTCTAACTCCTCACAGCGTATACGATAATCATCTTTGGCTGCTTCTAGTCTGTAACCAAAATAAAACAGACCAAAAAAGTACTATTTACTATTTAACAATTCTCCTTAGAACATAAAAGGAAATAAAAAACATGATAATAAACTCTTGAATCTTTTGTGACCATAAGTGGTATCTCCAAGTTTTAACGGTCCTAAAAATGGATTCCACTGGTCCAAGGCTTATGGAAACTTGACAACTGATTACCACTCCTCTTTTCAGAAAATTAGATGTCAAGAAATATTTTTTCAACATATAGCACAATTAATTTAACGTTTTATTTCTGACTGTGAAATTAACATATGTTCCTTGTTGAAAATTTACAAAATACATAAAAGCTAAGAAGATAAAAATCATGTATTGATCTTAAATAGATAATACTGTTAGCATTTTTGAGTATATCATCTAGTCTGGTTGCTATTCATAGATCTTTTCCCTCCAAATCTGGATAATACTGTTCCTACTACTTTTTTTTGTTTTGTAAGACTGTCTCTCATGTTTATTATTTATTTTAATTTTATTTATAATATTTAATGTTAGCAGAAATTCTTAATTTTTATGTAATTCTATTGATGAATTTTATACTTTATAGTTTCTACTTTTCGTGTATGATTAGAAAGTTTTTTTCTTTTATCCTGTATTTTGTTAGTATTTATATGGTTGCATTTTTAACAGTGAAATTCTCAATTTCCCCTGGAATTCATTTTTGTATTATGATACCTAACTTTTTCTGCCAAAATATGTACCCATTACCCCAAAACCATTTAATAAATAATTTAACCATTACCTATGGATTTAAAAAATGCCATTTTTATTATGTTACATATTTTAACATACACTTGGTTGTTTTCTGGATCTTCCTTGTGTTACTAGTTTGTTTGTATTTTGCTGCACCAGTACTAGTTTTAAAATTAGTACAGAAATATGGGATCCCTGGGTGGCGCAGCCGTTTGGCGCCTGCCTTTGGCCCAGGGCGCGATCCTGGAGACCCGGGCTCGAATCCCACATCGGGCTCCCGGTGCATGGAGCCTGCTTCTCCCTCTGCCTGTGTCTCTGCCTCTCTCTCTCTCTCTCTCTCTCTCTCTGTGTGTGACTATCATAAATAAATTTAAAAAAATAAAATAAAATAAAATAAATTAGTACAGAAATATAACATCTCAACACTGGACACAGCAAGCACTCCCTTATTATACTTTGTGTATAAATGTTCTGAGAATCTCTTGCTCGTCAATACTTCTAGCTGAAAATAAAATCTGAATTGGAATCAAGTTCAAATTAAATAATAATTTAGGAAAAAATGGCATTCTTACAATCCTCCTTACAATGTAAACAAAATATGTAAACATGTTATCACTCTACATATATTGAAATAATTTTTATATATAACAGAAGTTTTCATCATATAAGTCCCTCATATATCTTTTAAATTTTTTTATTCTTTGGGTATTTATATACTTAAAAGTGCAAGTTTTTCCTTATGATACTAACTGCGGTTATTGCTAGAAAGTCTTCTGACCTATACAAATGTCTTATAGCTACCCTCTCTCCTCTTGGTTAAAATGTAACTGCTAGATCTTGCCATTAAAAAGGTGTATTATCCCTTTTGTAATTAAAAATAATTTATGAACAGGGGCCTGGGTGGTTCTGTGGCTAAGCATCTGCCTTTGGCTCAAGTCATCATCCTAAAGTCCCAGGATCAAGCCCCAAGGCAGGCTCCCTGATCAGCAGGGGTCTGCTTCTCTCTGTCCCTCTGCCCAACACCCTGCTCATTCTCTCTTGCTTTCTCTCTCTCAATAAATAAAATCTTAAAAAAAAAATAATCTATGAGACTCAAAAGCTCAAAACAAAAATTAAAGGTAGAAGTTTATAATAAAGATGAGCCAGAAGCATTATATCTGACTATAAAGAATAATAAATACTGATGGGCGCCTGGGGTGGCTCAGTCGGTTAAGCGACTCTTGATTTCAGCCCAGGTCATAACCTCAGGGTTGTGAGATCATGGAGTCTGCTTAGGATGTTTGCTCGCACTCTCTCTCTCTTACCCACTGCCCCATCTGCATGTGAGCTCTCTCTCAAAAAGAAATAGTGAGATATATAAATGATAAACATTCAAATATGATAAAATATTTAAATGCTTCAAAATATAAATTGCAACATATATTGCAACATGTATTCTAGAACAATAAAAGCATTAGATACTATTTCCTTTATATTTAATGAAAACGCAGGACAATTCTAAATACCATTTCCCCAAACCACACTTTAAGAAACTGGCCGCAATTTAGAAACAAAAGGGTATAGTCATACTTAAATTGTACTACCTACTGATTCTGTCTTAGAAAGTCAAGATGCAGACAAAGGGCACTCTTTGGTCTCCTTCACACTCTTAAAATCACCGAAATTTCAAAAAACTTTTGTTTATATATAGTCCAGTTTATTAGAAGACAGCTGGGTTGTCATAGCTATTTCTATATTCATCTGTTGTGATGCCTTTTTTGGCTGAAATATATGATGGAAATCCACCCTTGCACAGATATGCAGTTAGAAAAGAGAGGGTCTGAAGAGGACCTGAAGAGGTCCTCAGACCACATCTTGAAATGCTGATGTAGACCATAAGGGATGGGCCATTTCTAAGGTTTAAGGGAAGACTTAAGAATCATTTTTATTTTTTCCTATTAAGTAAGATGTTATATTTCTTACTGTTAAGTCCTTCAATTTTGTGGTTCTGTTTTGTCTGGCGGAACACCAAATTTTTCCTTTTCTTCTTTTCCCTTTCACCATCCAATTGCCCAAGGGCCATTCTTCTTTCCTTTTGTCCTTTTCCTCTTCCAGAAGATGTGTTTACACTGTCCCTTTAAATCAGTATGACTTTTAAATAAGTCTGTCTCTATAAATTATGTACCTGGCCTTTATACTGTGTCTCCTGCAAAGGGCACCAGTCTCTTATAAATTCAGTGCCTCTATGTTTTTATGGTGTCTGGTCCTTTAAGATGATGTACTTAACTATGAAATTTTCCCCCTGCAGTTTGTGGTCTAATATTTTATTTTTTATTTTATGGGGGGAGGAGAGGCAGAGGGAAAGGGAGAACAGGAATCCCAAGCAGGCTCCATGCTGGGCATGAGTCTCAGTCTCACAACCCTGAGATCACGACCTAAGCTGAAACCAAGAGTCAGACGCTAAACTGACCATGCCACCCACCCAGGCGGCCCTGAGGGTGTTACTTTGATAGAATTTTTTCTAGATATAAACATCCTCCTTGGTCTGCAGGTACCCACAAGTCCTAACACTACATTTTTTTACCATTAAAAGATAGTTGTTGAATTTTTAAAAGTTAGACTTTGATGCATGGTCTTTTACCTGAATGTTTCTTCTTGGAGTTGTTCCAGTTGAGTCTGGAGCTGCAGATGCCTTCTTCCTGCAGGACTGTTGGGATCTTCTATAGAATCAGACTGATTAAGTCTTTCCATTAATACTTGATTCTCTGCCAAGAGACTACTTTTCTCCTCCTGCAATGCTGCAACCTGTAAGAGTATAGGAAGACAACAACTATTTCTTCCAATTACACTGGCATCAGCATAATCACTTGTAAGTGACCATTATGAATTAAATCTGGTTTTAATCAACTTCTACTTAAAACATGTACATTATTTTGGAATACTGCACAAGCAAAGCAATATGTAAGAGTAAGCAAAATTCCTTCTTTATATTTAAAAAGACAGTTCGCCAAATAATATATGTAAATGGCAACTAGGCACACCAAAAGATACTCATGATTCATCATTAAAGAAATGCAAATTAAAGCCACAATGTTACACCAGTACACTTCTACTAGAATGGCTCAAATAAAAAATACCCACTTTAAAAAACAAAACAAAAAAACCAATGTACCAAGTGTTGACAAAGATGTAGAACAGATGGAAGTCTCAGACGTCTCTGGTGAGAATATAAAATGTTTCAAGCACTTTGGAAAACAGCTTTGCATTTTTCAAAAAAATTAAACATGTAACTACCACATGACCCAGCCAGTATTTACTTACTCAAGAAAAATAAAAGTACATGCCCAAACAAAATTTTTTTAAAGATTTATTTATCTATTTATTCATGAGAAACACGGGGGGGGGGGGGCAGAGAGAGACACAGGTAGAGGGTGAAGCAGGTTCCACACAGGAAGCCTGATGCAGGACTCAATCCCGGGTCTCCAGGATGATGTCCTAGGCTGAAGGCAGGCGCTAAACTGCTGAGCCACCCAGGTGTCCCATCCATAAACAATGTTAACAGCAGTTTTGTTTGTAATAGAGAAAAACTATAAACAACACAAATGTTCATCAACAGGTGAATGGATAAATTCTAGAATATTCACACAATGGAATACTATTTGGCAATAAAAAAGAATTAATTACTGCTACTGTCAACACGAATGAATCACAAAATAATAGAAGAAGTCAGACAAAAAAAAAGTACATATATAGTGTATGATTCTTTTTATATGCAATTCTAGAAGATACGAACTAATCTACATTGACAAAGCAGAGCTGGGGACCTGAGAGGGAATACATTAAAGAATCATGAGAAAATTTGAGGGTGATGGGTTCATTATATTAATTGTGATAAAGTTTTCACACATTCATACATCTGTCAACATGCATCAAAATTGTATACTTAAAATATGAAGTTTATTGTATGTTAATTATATCTCAAAGCTGTAAAAACAAAAGTTAACTGCCATTTCTAATTCTCACTAATTCTAATTCCAATGCCCCACTTTTTCTTGAATTCATTCTAGTTGGGCTATTGGCTCTATCATTCCACAGAACTGCTAACCAGGAGCACTACTGACACTTTCATGTCACTGTGAACAATCAACCTTTGACACAACTGATCACATACTCCTTGACGCAGTTTCTCATTTGGCTGCCAGGACAAATGACAAAGAATGACAAATGACTCTCCTGGTTTCTGTACCAATCTACCAGGCTTCTCTTTCTCCTTAGTTCCTTTTATTTCTCTGTCATTTGAGTGCTGTACAGCTTTTCCTCTCTACATACAGTGATGGCTTCCAGTTTCATGGCTGTAAATATCATCTTTTCAGTAACAGCTCGCACATTTCTATTTCTAGTCTGGAATCCTACACTGGTATCATTTCCACTTGGATGTCTAACAGGCATCTCAAATTTAAATTGTCCAAGGGGAGCTCTTAATTACAGCTCACTTCCCAGTCCTTCCAGTCTTTCCCATTTCAGTGAAAAGTAATTCTATCATTCCAGTTCCTCAGTCATAATCCTTAACATCTTTACCTGGTATCCATAACCAATCTGTCAGAAAATATCATTGGCTCTACCTTCACACATATTTTGACTTTTTATCAACCCTAAATTCTTTTTTTTTTAAGATTTTATTTTTTTATTCATGAGAGACAGAGAGAGAGGGGGGCAGAGACAGAGGCAGAAGGAGAAGCAGGCTCCATGCAGGGAACCCGATACGGGACTCCAGGATCACACCCTAGGCCTAAGGCAGGCGCTAAACTGCTGAGCCACCCAGGCATCCCAATTTGGTAACTTTTGAATGTGTTCTGACTGTTCCACCAACCAGCTGTTCCTTCCCCCACTACCCAGTCTCTCTCCTCAGGCCTCCCTATTGCCTAAGACACAATATTGATTATTAGGCCAATTAATAGCCCTACCATGCCCTGTAAATGTTCAAGTGAATGGTCATTCATCTCTCATTTTAAATCAAAAGCTAGAAATGATTAAGCTTAGTAAGGAAGGCATGTAGAAAGCTGAGAGAGGCGGAAAGCTAGGCTCCTTGTACTAGTTTAGACAAATTGTGAATGCAAAGGAAAAGTTCTTGAAGGAAAGTAAAAGTTTAAGGCTACTCCAGAGAACACACAAATGATAAGAGAGTGATATGGCCTTACCGCTAATACGGAGAAAATCAAAGCAGCCACAGCATTCCCGTCAGCCAAAGCCTAATCTAAAGCAAGGCCCTAACTCCCTTCAATTTTCTGAGGGCTGAGACAGGTGGGGAAGCTGCAGAAGAAAAGTCTGAAGCTAGCAGTGGTTCGTTCTGGAGGTTAAAGGAAAGAAATAATCTTCCTAACAGAGAAGTGCAAGATGAATAAAGCAAGTACTGATATAGAAGGGGCATAAAGTTATCCAGGAAATTAAGGAGTTAAGATAATTTATGAAGGTGGTTATACTAAACAGATTTTCAATGTATATTAAACAGCTTTATTTTGGAAGAGATACTGTCTAGGACTTTCACAGCTACAGAGGATAAGTCAATACTTGTCTTCAAAGCTTCAAAGGAGGGGATCCCTGGGTGGCTCGGCGGTTTAGCGCCTGCCTTTGGCCCAGGGCATGATCTTGGAGTCCCAGCATCAAGTCCCACGTCGGGCTCCCTGCATGGAGCCTGCTTCTCCCTCCTCCTGTGTCTCTGTGTCTCTGCCTCTCTCTCTCTCTCTCTCTCTCTCTCTCTCTCTCTCTCTCTCGTTCTCTATCATAAATAAATAAATCTAAAAAAAAAAAAAAGCTTCAAAGGACAGGTCAAATCTCTTGTTAGGGGTTAATGAACCTGGTGATTTTAAGTTGAAGCCAGTGCTCATTTGTCATTCTGAAAATCCGAGGCCCTTAAGAATTATGCTAAATCTACCCTGCCTGTGCTCTCTCAATGGAACCACAAACTCTGGGTGATAACACATCTGTTTACAACATGGTTTACTAAATATTTTAAGCCCACTGCTGAGACTTACTGCTCAGAAAAAAAAGAGGACTTTAAAGATATTATTGCTCATTGACAATACACCTGGTCACCCAAGAGCTCTGACGGAGATGTACAATGAGATTAATGTTTTCAAGCCTGCTAACACAATATCCATTCTGTAGCCAATGGGTCAAGGAGTAATTTTGACTTTCAGGTCTTGTTATTTAAGAAACACATTTAGTAAGGCTATAGCTATCAGACATTGATTCTTCTGATGCATCCGGATAAAAAAAACTGAAAACTTTTGGACAGGGTTCACCATTCCAGATAGCAGTAAGAACATTCACAATTCATGCGAAGAGTTAAAAAAAATCAATACTAACAGAAGTTTGAAAGACACTGATTCCAATCCTTATGAAGATTATGCAGGTGTGGTGGAAATAGCAAGAAAACTAGAAGCCAAGACAGAAAATGTGACTGAATTGTTGTAATCTCATGATAAACTCCAATAAATGAGGAGTTGCTTGTTATGGATGAGCCAAGAAAGTGGTTTCTTGAGACAGCATCTACTCATGGTGGAGATGCTGTAAACATTGTTGAAATGATGATAAAGGATTTAAGAATACCAGATAAATAGTTGATAAAGCAGCAGCAGGGTCTGAAAAGACTGATTCCAAGTTTGAAAGAAGTTCTACTGTGGCTAAAATGCTATCAAACAGCACCACATGCTGTAGAGAGACAATTCTTAAAAGGAAGAGTTGATAGGTACAGCGAACTTCATTATTGTTTTATTTTAAGAAATTGCTACAGCTATCCCAACCTTCAGCAACCACCATTCTGATCAGTCAATAGCCATTGACACTGAGGCAAGACCCTCCACCAGCAAAAAGATGATGACTCGCTGAAAGCTAAGATGATGGTTAATAATTTTAAAATTATTTTAGTAATTTATTTTTAAATTAAGGTGTACATATTTGAGGGAAAAATATATATACATTTGTTTTATACATAATACTATTGCATAGTTAACAGACTACTGTGAAGTGTAAATACAACTATATAAAAGTTGCCAGTGTTATATGCACTGGGAAACCTAAAAATTCATCTGACTCGCTTTATTGCAGTGGTATGGAACCAAATCCATAATAAGTCTATGGTATGCCTGTAATGAAGAGTAATATGCAAAGAAAAAAATAATAATAATAAAAAAAATCAGACAAGAAAAAGGGGCTTATAATAAAAAGTTACAGTATTCTGTTGAGTTTTTCTACTTCTAAGAGACAACTAATTTTCACTGTTCCCAATTTTACTGTTTTTGGTTGTTAGTTTACATCTCTAAATGTTTTACACCACCATTCTTGATTTATCAACCTCAGACATTATCTAGTGACTCCTCTGATAGGTTAAATTATGGCAACTTGTGCCATTCTTCCTTTCCATAAATGCAATTATATCACTATTCTTGTCACCTTCACTGGTCACTTCTGCTGTCTTAAACAGATACCTATTGACTCTCTTTACTCAATGCCCCACCAGTTCATTCATTCTCTCAAATATTCATTGTGTGCCTGCTATATGGACCATAGAGTACATGACCATAATAAATAACAAATCAGGTGATTCTGAGCTGAGACTGGAGGCTTAGGTGGAGCCAGCATGTAATGGATGTTGTGCCACAGAAGTAGTTCTTGACTCCCTTTTGGTAAGACAATAACATTAGTGACTGACCCTACCTTTCCCTCATGTCCCTTGCCCTAGTCTACTGCTATCATTTTTACCTTTACTTTTGCAATTTTACATTTCTCTGTAGGACAATTCTAAATTGTGTGTTACTACTGTTTTCTGCAGAGCTAAGTGTATCATAAGGCAACACCTTCCCTTCTTGTAACTTCTCTGCAACCCTGCCATTCACTTTGCAATCTGTCTATACCAGGGATTGGTAAACTCTTCTGTAAAGAATCGAACAGTGAATATTTTAGGCTTTGAGAGCTATAGGTCTCTTTGGCAAGTACTTAACTCTGTCACTACAGCATAAAAGCAGTCACAGAGAATACGTGAAAAAGCAGGGCTGTGCTCCAATAAAAACTACCTACAAAAACAGATGGCAAGCTGGTTTGCCAATCCTAATGTATAACTTTATACATTATTTTTTATAACTAGGATATAGATATTATCTATGATAATCAGCTCTTAGTATTATTACTAATCTTAGCGTTTGTGTATAGCTTTTTATTTTTTAAGGTTTTATTTATTTATTCATGAGAGAGAGAGAGAGAGACAGAGAGAGAGAGACACAGGCAGAGAGAGAAGCAGGCTCCATGCAGAGAGCCTGATGCGGGACTCGATCTCACGACTCCAGGATCATGCCCTGGCCAAAAGGCAGGCGCTAAACTGCTGAGCCACCCAGGGATCCCCAGTGTTTGTGTATATAGTTAAGTTCTAAAATTTCAAAAAACAAATTAACAGCATTTAACATTGTTAACTAGATAAATATCATTTACTATATGACCCAGCAAGTGTGCTACAATTACACTTCTTCCTATGTGCATCCAAAGCAGTGACCAACACCTGTGCCTTTCAAAGGAAAATGCTTCTCTTATAAAATATTATGAACTCTGTGTATTCATGACCCAGCTTTAACAAGTATCAAAACATGGCCAATTATATCTTATTTGTACCTCTCTGTCCATGTGCCCGACCTCCTTTATTTTGAGGTAAATCTCAAATAATTTTTTACTTATTTTCTTTTTATTTGTGAGATTTCTTAAACTCTAACTATTCTGTTACATTTTTTACTTTAACAATTCTATTTTTAAATTACTTAAGTGTCTGATTTCTGATTTTTTTTTTTTTTACTTTTTAAATAGCATCATGTCCTAGATGGAATTTCTTTACTAATTTCACTGAGGGTATTAAACAGATTTAAAAAAGATTACTATGTGCTACTACCCCAAATTTCTCCACTTCCTCCAGGACTACTTTCCAAGCCTATCTTGATCCTTTTCTTTTGGAATGCACTTTTAAGAGGTAGTCAAAGCAAGGGTAACCATAAACTATGCATTCAAAGGCTTCCCCTTAGGGCTTATTTAAAAAAGCTGGCCTTTAAGTAAATTAGAGTGTAAGTCAGGGCTTTAAAAAAATCTCCTCCACCCCTCTCTAAAGCTAGCACAGATATCCCTACTTTCTCTTTTTGTATTCTTGTACTATTTTGATTCATTTATTATAAATTTAATGGGGTTGCAGGGAGGAAAGAAAATATATTTGATGAGTCTACTATCTCTAACCAAAAATCTGCCCCCTCTCCCCCTTTAAGACTCTTTAATTTGTGTTGCATTACAGCCATTTGGTGTTGCTTATAGGGTACATTTCAAATAGGTGGTACACAGAAATGATCTCTTACCTGCATATCCAGTTCATGGCATCTTTGAGCAATTTCTTCCTTTGCTGACAAAGCTTCATTCAGTTCCTCTGTAGTCTTCTTCAACTAGTTAGAAACAAAGAGATACAATAAACATTTCAATATGAAGAAGCAACAATAATTATATAGGCACAATAAAGAATTAAAACACTCCTCCCATTTCTTTCTGAGGGGCTGGGAGAAATGGAGAACTCTTCTGAAGATTCAAAAGCAGCCATTTCTAACTTTGAATATCTTCTAGTCCTAAGTCTTGTCTTTTCTGTACTCTGTATCTGGTTCTTTGCTCTTATCAAGTTTTCTTACACTTTCCTATCTAGGTTACATGATTCTTAGTAATAATGATTCTGTAATAACTGAGAAATTTTCCCTTGATAAAATATATATGTGCTAGAGAATAGGGGTTTCAATGTTGAACTATATAGCTAAAGTATTTCAACACAAGTTCTTCAGTCATATTAAACTTTTATGTTAATTTGTATAACAGTTTTAAAAATATTTTTATTATTCTAATTCTCGACACAAACCAAACATTTGAGTTGTGTCCCATTATTATATAAACTCTAAGTTAGCAAAGCATGAACAAATTAAAATTGATTAGTTAATTTTAAGAAAAAGAAAAAAGAAAAAAATTTAAAAATATTAGCTTTTCCTTTCCTGTGACCAAACCTCTGTGTAATAAAGATATAAACAAATTCATAAAAGGTAACAACTCTAAAATCTAACATCACAAAGTAAAGGAAGCAAATTACAACTCGGGTTAAAATTATATCATACCCAAAGATTTTCCTACAAAAAACCATTAAGAAACCATTGAGAAGAAATGAGGATAACATGAAGATTTCTGTTCATGCTTTGGAACAGATGTCCCAGACAACTGAAACATAGAAACTGACAAGGTAAGCCGCAGTATTTTATTGATAAGCAGTAATTAAAATTACAAAATAACTTTTTGGTTAAAACTACAAGAATAAACTCCAGAGTTCCTTTAAAAATATAGTAGTTTCCTTAGTTCATTTAAATATCTACTGATTGTTCAATTTTTCACAAAGATGAAGGTGGAGGATACATCTGCAATGGAAGACTCATGTGAAATAAAAGGTATTTTGTGTTATAAGTAAATCATAAGATTAAAATGCATGCCACTTTCCAGGAATGCATCTGTTGTCTTAATGGGGCATACAGAAAGATATCACCAATGGAGAAAGAAAAATGATTAGAGAATATGAATTACAAGGACTTAAATTTAAAGTGGGTCATGCAATATTTTAATTATAAATTTAATTACAGATGTGTAATGTCCACTACTAAAGTAGCTAAAGTCTTGAATTTATGTAAAAAACAAAACAAAAAGACTTAAACCAGTATATTCTATAAGCAATTTCATCTGAAACATTCTTTTCATTAACATCTCAAGTTTATCCCTTTCAATGAACTCTGCATGGACAAAAACAATGCAAAATTAGATACCTGGCGATCAAGGTCAACATAGGCATCATTTCCAGCAGAGACAGGCGATTCCTTACTCATCAGCTGAAATTAAGATTTAAATGATATAACTATGAGGCAAAAAAGACATCATATAAAATATACCTGTACAACACAAACACCTGGCCATCACAGAATTCTAAAAATTAAAATGAAAACACAAATGTAAAAGGAACATTTTCCTATACATTGAAACTTTTGTTTGAAATAATTTTCATCCCAGGATAATGCCTTCATTCAAAATTACAGGTCTAAATTCTGGTGCTCATTTTCACTGTAAATGCAGTCGTAAGAATCAAGACAAATCTTTAAGTTTAAAAAGTGGCTAAATATTTTAAAGCTGACTGTTCAGACAAAAAACAAAATGAAACAAAACCAAACCAAAAAACCCAGCAACACTCAAGTAACTGTATCTAAAGAATAAATATGGGCAACATCAGTATTAGCCAAAACGAACTGGCTAATGTTTATTAACACACACACACACACACACACACACACACACACACACACACACACCTATGTCTTAGTCTCTCTCACCCTTGTGTTGCAGAGAGAGGATCCATAACGTGTGAGGGGCTGGGGGTGAAAGGGATAAAATTCTGATTGTGACAAATATCAGGGGCAGACTCAAATGGTCCCATTTTTCTACAGTTTCCTTATGTTCTATCTAAAGGACAAAAGAAAGGGGGACAATCAGAAATGTGGGGATGCACTGTTGAGAGATCTTGTAATTTCAGCCTCTGGTACTACTCTAATTAGGAAAAAAAACTCTCAGGAAGAGTTAAAAAAAAATACTCGCTTCAATGTTTATGCTTTTCTTGTGACAATGCTAATTGAAAGATTTTTAAGACTTCTTTCAGTTGAAAAAATCCCATTGTAAAGAACATAACTCATAAAAAGTATAAAGAAAAAATCCATTTTTCTACCATCTAGAAACAATCACCTTTATAATTCTGAAATATTTAAGCAGCTACCAACCATTGGTGTAGCACAAGTCAAGTGAGAAGACAAACATAATGTGATGTAGACTGTTTTAGAATCCTCAGAGAGGCAGTATCCAATCAGAGGCAGGTGGTAGAAAGACTAGTTTTTTTTTCCCCAGTCTTTTTCCTTTTCCCATTGTTACAGTTAAGTCCTCATCATAACACAGCAACAATTCTGAATAAAAACCTAGGTGTCCTACCCTCTGAATACAACCTCTTCCCAACCCTGGTCTCTGATGCAATTATGTTTAGTTTATGTGCTCCTCAATTTGAGGTTTCCAAGACCTATATTACCCTCCTTTCTCCTGGGCTTCTAGTCAGAACACATCATTCTAATACTTACTTTCTTCTTTACTCTGCTTAGACTTTAGAGTAAACATTATTGCTTGCCTGCTCATATTTACTCCTCCTCCTCCTGCTAACATCATCATCTTTCTGGGACTCATCCTCCTCTCCTGCTTTAGCTTCCATGGTTCTTCATTTAACCAACCACTTTCTAGCCTAGATTTTTCAGTCTATTATGTTGATGACCTATGTCAACATCATCAATTTTCTTTTTTAAGATTTTATTTATTTATTCATGAGAGACAAAGAGAGAGGCAGAGACACAGGCAGAGGGAGAAGCAGGCTCCATGCAGGGAGCCTGATGTGGGACTCGATCCCGGGACACCCGGTTCAAGCCCTGGGCTCAACAGCTAGGCCACCCAGGCGTCCCCAGTTTCCAGTTTCAAATGGGCCCTTAAAGTTTTCCTGAAAGTACAGTTATGCTTCCCCAGTCAGCGGTCTCTTCATCCCTTTTAAAGACTATTCTAACCCTAGCTTAAGGGAAGGCTTCTCAAAGAAGGTGACATCTTGACTTTAAAAGGGATGAAGAAACCTTTCTTGCTTACTTCTTGAGTCTCCACATTCATCAGAAAACCTTATCTCCAAATAAGAATTTCCTATGTCTCAATCCACAAAATTGGCAACATTCATGCCCATCCTTTCTTTTTTCAATATTCTTGTAACTAACACAAGTGCTATTCTTCCCATTGAAGGCTAATCCCTCCACATGTGCTCCCTAATCGAGTCTCCTCCAGCTTCATAAGATATCTGTTATAAAAAATATGGACAGATGTGTCTACGTGGCACAGTCAGCTGAATGTCTAACTCTTGGTTGTCAGTTGTAGTCATGATGTCAGGGACATGGAATTGAGCTCCAGGTTGGTCTCCACACTCAGCAGTCTGCTTGAGTTTTTCTCTCTCCCTATGCCCCTCCTGCCTATGAGCTTTCTAAAATAAATTAATAGATTTTTTTTTAAAGGACAATAACAAGGGTTGACAAAGAGGTGGAAAAAGCAGAATCCTAATACACTGCTGGTAGGAATGTAAAATGCTGCAGGATCTGTGAAAAACAAGCCGGTACTTCCTCAAAAAGTTAAACACAGAATTACAGAGAAATTCAATTTCAATATGCTCGGAAGAATTAATAACAGGTGTTAAAAAGAACAAACATATACTAACATTCACCACAGCATTATTCACAATAGCCAAAAGGTAGGAACAACCCAAATGTTTCTCAACTGATGAACAGATAAAAATGTTGCACATCCATACAATGGATTATTCAGCCGTAAAAAGGAACATGTATTTATACATGCTACAGACTAACCTTGAAAATACTATGCTAAAAGAACAAAGACACAGAAGGCCACATATCATATGATTCCATTTATTTGAAATATCTAGAATAGAGAAATTCATAGAGATATAAAGTAGATTACTGGTTGACAAGAGCTGAAGCAAGGAGGAAATGAGAACTGCCTATGTAATGAGTGTGCAGGATTTTCCTTTGTGGTGATGGAAAAAGTTCTGGAACAAGATAGTGATAATGTTTGCACAACATTAGGAATATATTAAATGTCACTAATGGCAGATTTTTGTTATGTGTACTTTACCACAGTAAAAAAAAAGTCAGTACTATCTGAATAAATATAAATAGAATGTGCCCTAAAAAAAAGAGAGAGAGAGAGAGACTACCATTTTACAGAAGCCTTTCTTACTTCCATTATTCTATCCAGCTACCCTCCTTTCCCCCCTCCCCCCAGGTCCAAACAGTCACCAAGCCTATTGATTCAAGCTCTTATAATTTTCCAATCTGTCCACCTGCCTCCACCCTGACTGCCATAACCTAGTTCAAGCTTCCATCATTCTTCCAAGGAGATGGATAATTCCTTGGATAGACCTTGGATAACTACCAAGGTCTCCTAACTGCTCTCCCTTTTTCTAGCCCAGTTTCCCTTCAAACCATTCCCATCAAATGGATTTTCTTAAATACAGATTTTATTTTTATTTATTTTTAAAGATTTTATTTATTTATTCATGAGACACACACACAGAGAGAGAGAGAGAGAGAGAGAGAGAGAGAGAGAGAGAGAGAGAGAGAGGCAGAGACACAGGCAGAGGGAGAAGCAGGCTCCATGCAGGGAGCCTGATGTGGGACTCCATCCCAGGTCTCCAGGATCACACCCTAGCCTGAAGATGGCAATAAACCGCTGAGCCACCGGGGGCTGCCCTTAAATACATATTTTAATTCTATTTTCTCCTTAAAATCTACTCACTGATTTCCACGATCCCAACTCTCTCATGAAACTGATTAGTATTCTAATGATCTAGGTCTCTCATTCCATTTCTAAGCACTTCCCACCACGTTTGCTACAGGGGTTCTTCTTTTCAGTACATCCAACATTCCATGTAGGTCTTGCTTTCTCTTGCCTCCTGGGCTTTAGAAGAATTTTTGCCCCTTACTTACCTCATCTCATCCTTCCATGCTCAGTCAAGATGTCACCTTCTTTGAGAAGCCTTCCCTTAAGTCCTCAAACTGAGTTAGCTACTCCTTTGAGGTCCTAATATTTTTCCCATCATGGTACTTTTCATTTGAAATGCTTTGACTGTATTTGCTTGGTTAGCCATTTTTCCCATGAGATTTAGACTCTGGGGGGGCAAGAGACCATGTCTTTTTTTTTTTTTTTCATAATTGTTACCTGAATGCCTACTACAGCTCCTGGTGCATATTAGGTGTTTGATGGTATGTGCTAATTAAGTAAAAGGAATATGCACATAAAAGACATATAATCTATTCTTAAAACCTATTTGTAGGTACAGTTTAATATTACTTTGTTCACTTGACATTTTGAATGTTCTCCCTTGTCATAAGATATTTTATCTCTTGAAAGATTTATTTAAGGGACTGAAAGTGAGTGGATGCGGGAGGCGGGGAGGTGGGCAGCGGGCAGCAAAGGGAGAGAGTCTTAAGCAGACTCCACACTGAGCACAGAGTCCCCACAAGGGGCAGATCTCGTGACCCTGAGATCATGACCTGAGACAAAACCAAGAGTCAGAAGTTCAACTGACTTATGGGCCTGGTGCCCCAGAAGATACTTTTTTTTTAAACAAATTTTTTTTATCAGCTATGTAATATTCCATGAGATGGAGGTACCCTAATTTAAACACTTGCTTACCAATGGATGAATATTATTGTCGTATTTCTATTAATATAAAATAGTTTGGGGAGGGCCTAACTGGCTCAGTCAGAAGAACATGTTGTTCTTGATCTTGGGGTTGTGAATTCAAGCCCCACACTGGATGCAGAGATTAACTTGAACTTTTTTTTAAATTAATTTTTTAAAAAAATTTTATTTATTCATTCACGAGAGACAAACCAGCAGAGACAGGTAGAGGCAGAAGCAGGCTCCTTATGGGAGCCTGATGTGGGACTTGATCCCAAGATTCCAGTGTCACAACCTGAGCCAAAGGCAGACACTCAACCACTGAGCCACACAGGTGTCCCAAACAAACTTAAAAAAAAAAATTATATAAAATAGTTTGATAAGCACTGTAGTGCCCAATCTTGGTCTGAATTTCTAAATAATTCTTTGGGCTAAATTCATAGAATTAAAAATCATTTGGTCACAGATTTTAATTTTAAAAATATTTCTGATTAGAGATACGAACCTGTAATTATAGAAAAATCAACAAATAGAGAAAAAAGCTTAGAACAGCCAATCATTTGGCGATAGTTAATGTTCTGCCATTTTCACTCATCTTAATTTTTCTTTAAGATTTTTAATTTATTTATTCATGACAGACACAGAGAGAGAAAGAGGCAGACACACAGGCAGAGGAAGAAGCAGGCTCCATGCAGGGAGCCCAACGTGGGACTGGATCCCAGGTCTCAGGATCACACCCTGGGCTGAAGGCGGTGCTAAACCGCTGAGCCACCAGGGCTGCACTCATCTTAATTTCTAACAGAAATGGGATTATACTGCTCATGTGCTGTTTCTCTCTATATAAGCCTTACCCGTGCTGTCATATATTTTTTAAAAATATACTTTAATGCTACCTAGTATGCCAATATATTAATCTGCCATAATTTATTTATCTGTGCTCCTATTGCTGGGCAGTCATGATGTTTCTAATATTAGAATATTCAATATTAGAAAATAATGTTGAAATAAACAATCTTGAGGCAATATTGCACAATGGTTCTGGGCATGGGCTCTGAATTCAGACTGCTTAGATCTGAGTTCTAACTCTGCCAATACTTGTGTAGACTTGTGGTTACTCACAGTCTATGCTTCAGTTTCCCCTTTTATAAAATCAGGTTACAATAATAGTATATACCTCAAAATATTACAATTAATTTTTCATTTTTTTATTTTGGTAAAGTATATAGAACTGAAATTTGCCATTTTAACAATTTTATGTCTACACTCCAGTAGCATTGATTATAATTCTAGTGAATTTTAAGTGTGTTAATGTGTTTAGTAAGTAACCAGCACTACCGAGCACATAGTAGGTACAAAATAAATGTGTGCTATTACTATTATTATCTATCTCTGTATTTCAGTTATCCTTATAGGATAAATTCCTAAAAACAGAATTACAAGGTCAATTATAATAAGGCAGAACTCTTAGTGGCCCCTTACTATTTTTCCTATTTTTCCTTAGTAACAGACTGGAGTTTTGGCTGGTTTTGCAACTACCTGGAATAAAGGCCACATCCCCCCCAATTCCCTGTGTGGTTATGTGAGTGATATCAGGCAAACAGGAGAATTGCTGAAAGTTTATTTAGAGGAAAACTTGGAACTTCATTCCTTCCTGATGGCTGGAAATGTGAATGTGATAGGTGGAATTTGAGAAGCCAGAGCTGAACCACTAAATGGGAAACACGTATTAAGGATGGCAGACACAGGGATCCCTGGGTGGCGCAGCAGTTTGGCGCCTGCCTTTGGCCTGGGGCGCGATCCTGGAGACCCGGGATCGAATCCCACGTCGGGCTCCCGGTGCATGGAGCCTGCTTCTCCCTCTGCCTCTCTCTCTCTCTCTCTGTGTGTGTGTGACTATCATAAATAAATAAAAATTAAAAAAAAAAAAAGGATGGCAGACAAAAAGAAACAAGAAAGCTGGGTCTCTGACGACTACAGAGCAGAACCCAGGGCCACTTAAGAGCAAATAAACCTCTATCTTGCTTGAGAGATTGTCATTTTGATATTTTAACACTTATGACCTAGTATCTTATATGATATCAAAGAGTGTATTTTTAAAAAGATGTACCAGTTTATCTTCCTACCATCAGAGCTGAATGATAAACTGATTGTCTTTTAAAAGCTTTGCTTTTTTGAAAGGTCCTGTGTAGTAAGGAATTTGGCTGGCCTGCGTCCCCTTATTGGCAAGCAGCCTCTCAATCTCTGGAATTTCCTTACTGATAAGAGTATCTTTGTTATTTGTGGGCCCCTGGGTACTTTAAGCTAAAAAACTGGATGACTCAAATTGGAGTCTGGTCGTGCCAGAAAAATCAGCAATGTGTCAGAAGACTGGGTCTTTGAGCCACCTGACAGTCAGCATGACTTCTGTGGGGAAGGAGAGCTAGATACTGTGTTCAATCCCATGGTCAAGGATGCAATCAATCATACCCACATAATAAAACCCCAATAAAAATTCTAGACATGAAAACTCAGGTGAGCCTCCCTGGTTGGCAGTACTTTGGGAACTGCCACACATAATGTGCTGGGAGAGTGATAGGTCTTGATTCCACGGAGGGGGGAACAACATAAGCCTTGTATCTGGGACCTCTTAGACCTCACTCTATGCATTTTTGGGACAGAGGGAGTTGGTTCTGGTTTGTATTCTTTTACTATAATAATAATACTTTCATCATATTCCCGAGTTCTGTGAATAGAATCCTGAGAGAGTAGTGAGAACCCCTGGATTTACAGTCAGGTGGTCAGATATTTTAAAAAACACAACTTTAATTTGCACTTAGCATTCTTCATGTTGTCTGTTGTATTTTTTCCTCTGCCAGTTGCACGTTCAAATCCTTGTTTTCTAGTACCCCTAAGAGTTTGTTCTGTTACTTTTATGATTAAAAACATTCTCTCATCCTGAGACCAACGGGTTATTAACCCACATTTTATTTTTAGTTTCATGTCTTACACTTAATGGAGTTCAAGACATGCTACCCCAAAGTATGGTAGGTACCCTGGCATACTGAATACATCAAGCTAAAGGAACTGGAAAAATAGCAGGTACAGGAAGGATTTTTTACCTTCTCCAGAAGCAGGTAAAAGCCTCATGTGAGAGGTGTTTTCCCTATAGTCAGAGGAAAAACATCCTTTTCTCCGAAAATACAGGGATTCTAAAAGGACTCATTGAATAGGACTTGCTGTTTCCCCCAGGTTACTACCCCTTAGCTCAAAACTCTTTTTTGCCCTATCACATTTTTCCATGATTCTCCACTCTTCATCAAACCCAGCACTAAAACACTCAGGTTTAAAACACTTCTTTGGTCTTCATTTCCTTAAGAAGGTCCCTGTGTCATATAAAACTTATATGAGGGTGCCTGGGTGGCTCAGTCGGTTGAGTGTCTGCTCAGGTAATGATGCCAGAGTCTTGAGATTGAGCCCCCTCACTGAGCTCCCTGTTCAGTGGAGAGTCTGCTTCTCCCTTTCCCTCTGCCCTCCTCCCTGCTTGTGTCCCCTCTCTCTCTGGCTCTGCACTCTTTCTCAAATAAATAAAATCTTAAAAAACAACCCAAAAACATCTGTATCCTTTTTCTTTTTAATCTTTTGTTACAGAGATCTCCAGCTGAGAACTTGGATGGGTAGAGGAAAACGATATTTTTCCTCCCCTACAGTTTCAGTATAAATATTCATCTAGAAATAGCTTTGGGTATGGTTGGAGTTGAAAGCTCATTTTCTGCCAAACAAGAAACCAATAATTAAATGTGAGGTAGACTGCTGGTTTAATATACATATATTTTTTAAAGATTTTATTTATTCATGAGACACAGAGAGAGGCAGAGACACAGGCAAAGGGAGAAGCAGGCTCTATGCAAGGACTCGATGCAGGACTATGATGCAGGACTCGATCCCAGGACTCCAGGATCATGCCCTGAGCCAAAGGCAGACGCTCAACAGTTGAGCCACCCAGGTGTCCCTAATATACATATTTTTAATGGCTTTAGGAATTAGTCTACTATTCCTAGTTCATTGGGACATTTTTAATAATTAGCAATAGTTAATAAATAATCTATACCGACAAGACAAATGTTTAAGTTTTTTTTTAAGATTTTATTTATTTATTCATGAGAGACAGAGAGAGAGAGGGGCAGAGACACAGACAGAGGGAGAAACAGGCTCCATGCAGGGAGTCTGCTGTGGGACTCGATCCCTGGACTCCAGGATCACATCCTGGGCTGAAGGCGGCGCTAAACCACTGAGCCACCCAGGCTGCCCATGTTTAAGATTTAAATGAGAAATTTAAATGTATGATTTATTTTTTAATTTTTTAAATGTTTTATTTATTTATTCATGAGAGACACAAAGAGAGAGAGAGAGAAGAAGCAGAGACCTAGGCAGAGGGAGAAGCAGGGTCCCTGTGAAGAGCCTGATGTGGGACTCGATCTTGGGTCCCTGGGAAAATGACCTGAGCCAAAGGCAGACACTCAACTGCTGAGCCACCCAGGTGCCCAAATGTATGATTTTAAAATAAAAATGAGGCAAGCTATATCATAAGTGCAAAGAAAAAAAAATTCTAAAGAAAAATGAGTAGGAGAATCTTTTTTTTTTTTTTTTTAAATTTCTACTTCTAGGGATGTGGCTTAGCAGTTGAGCGTCTGCCTTTGGCTCAGGACGTGATGCCAGAGTCCCGAGATTTGAGTCCCATATTGGGCTTCCTACGTGGAACCTACTTCTGCCTCTGTGTGTCTCTCATGAACAAATAAAATCTTGATAGACAAATAAAAACAAAATTTCTACTACTATTTAAGCTCTGGTTTGATCTTTTAATTTCTCACAAACAGTAATCAGAAAGCTCCAACCTACCTCTTGTATGGCTGTCATGACAACATGTTGAACAGATTCCTCCATCATCATAATGGCTTGGATGTACTCTGAAAACAAGAACAATCTGGAATGTCACTGTTCAAGTTAAAGATACTCAAGGAGTAATGGCTCACACTTCATGAATTCTTTTAACTAGTTTTCTGTTTTTATTCTTCCCAGGGATTCTTCATATGTTGTTAAATATAGGTACCACAGGTAAAGTAAAAGCTGAAAATCACACTATTTCTCTTAAGATAACCCACCCTACTCCCTACCACCACCATTACTTACAAAGTTGAAGCTACAGCTAACAGTCACAGGAATACAGTATCTCAGGAAGACAGTGAAATGTTAAAGCCTAAAGCCAGGATGGGAAGAACTCATTACTATTCCTAAAATTTTAAGTTTACTTTGCTACAGTTTAAAAAAAACTGATGTCTGTGCTTTATTCTTGTGTGACATCAAAGTATTGCATCATGTACAATTCCTACCTTAATATTTTCTACTACAGAAGAGAAAAATCTTAATAAATCTGAGAGCTACTTAGGACAAAGAATTAAGATGAAGTTAAGATAGAAGTAACACCATAATTAAACAAATATTGTATAACCCTCGGCTTTAAAATACATCACCAACAAGCTAAAGTACTAACTTCATCAATCTTACCCTCACCACTACCAAATAACAGAAAGATCTCTTAGCTGTCAGTAGTGACCAGCTGAAAAAATAATTTCTTGTCTTCTATTAAAAAAACAAAAAAACAACCGTACAAGTAGTTTTCCTTATTTGCAAATCCAACAATGAATGGAAAAAGTGGAATTCAACATAAAAAAAAAAAAATCAACAGGCCAGCTCGATTCTAACAAATATAGTAAATACATTTTAATAAACATTTAAAAGAGTAATTAAGGGAATTTTAGGCTCAACCTGCCTCTCTCTCCCATACATCCAAAAAAACCTCTCACACATACACCAGAAACTTCTCAGCACTTCAAGTATTACATGATGGAATCTTACTGCGAAACTGCTGAAGTGATCTTTCGGTGAGAGACTCATGTATTTGGAATGCCAAGCTGTATAATGCTTTACGTGACAGATAACTCATTAAAAAACCCCAAAAGACAAAGTACTTTGAAAGCACTACTAAACTGTGACATTCGGACATTCTGGTTATTACAGTCAAAGCTTTTTGTTAATCAAAGGCATATTCTTAGGCAAGTGTTGTTCTAAGGATACTTGTACCCAATCAAATGTGTGGAGACACATACAAATATACACAACATCCTTAAATCACAGGATTTCTTAGGACAACAGTAGGAATGTATCAGAACCACTATTTGAGAAAAAGAAATCCTTTATTCTGAGCTCAATTTTTGTTCTGTTTTGTTAACAAGGAACATCCTGTAGGTCTTGGAATGCAAGGGAGTGCTTATTTTTAAATGGATCACAGACTTTCTTTTTTTTTTTTTTTTTTAAGGATTTTATTTAGTTATTCATGAGAGACACGGGGAGAGAGGCAGAGACACAGGCAGAGGGAGAAGCAGGCTCCAGGCAGGGAGCCTGATGCAGGACTCGATCCCTGGACCAGGATCACGGCCTGAGCCAAAGGCAGATGCTCAACCACTCAGTCACCCAGGTGTCCCAAGGAAGTGCTTTTAGATACTGTGTTCAAAGGTGCCAAATGCAGAATCCCAAGGGTCTGGAGAAAATGGCACAGCTAGGATGACTAAATAGCCCTAAAAATAAAAAACTGTGAACATGGAAAAGAAAAAGTAGTGGCACTGATAATGGAGAAGGAAAATTTAATGACAGCCTATTGGAAGTGAAGAAAATAACAGTGGGAACAGGGAGGTTAGGAAGTTAGTTAGGTGTGAGAGGGGAAGCGTTAGTTAAGAAGCGGTGTTGCCACGTCAAGGCCCTTCCCCGCGAACACCGTAAAATGCTACATGATAAAATGATAAGAACTATGTTAATGTACAATTTTTGAAAAGATAGATAAATAAACAAATAAATAAATAAATAAATAACGAATCTTTAGTGTCCAAAATACAAGTATGTATGATTACTGATATCGCAGATCTATGAGGCAATGCTAGAGAATGAGGTGTGCTATGTCAATAAGACTATACTGAAAACTTAGCTTTTAGCACCAGAATTTACAGCAGCTTAGTATAAAGAATATGATGTTTAAACATGGAGAGACATGGATTGTAGTCCTTGCCTAGCTTTTCTCAAACAGAAATCTTGGGCAAGTCATATAATACTTAGTTTTCCTGCTGTGTAAAAACTATTTTTGTTCTGTTACTACCTAAAGGAGTACCAGGCAGAAGAGAGACACTCAATAATTACTATGAGTGTGTCTTCTACTACTACTCTTCGCTTTTTCAATTTTAGCACTAGTTATTTTCCCCATTTGAGAAGCCAGATGGCCAACATAAATGTATACTAGGTCAATGTTCTCAGCTATTGCTCCTTATTTTTGTAGTTGAAAAACTCATCTAAACATAAGGTCTTTTCTATTTGTATAGTGCATTATGGATTACAAACCAAATATGCATATACAATTTCATTTACTCCTCATAACCATCAGGTTTTATATCCTCATTCTGTAGATGAGAAAACAAGCCAAATGCCTAGTCCAAATGTCAGTGACATAGCAAATGGAAGAGCCGCTTTAGTAAACCTCACATTACACATCATAAATGTGCAGTAACAGGTAATACTGAACTCAGAAACTCACTTACTTTGATTCTTTGTTCTCAAGTCTGCTTCTGAAAATACAGAATGCCCTCTGGATAAATATGATACTAAAATCCTATTCAAAGTTTTCATCATTTATATACAATTTCAGAGGAGAAACCAAATTTAGGTGTTACACAACACTTGGTCTGTGTGAGAAGCTGGATAAATATTATGACTGTCTGCTTTTCCATAGGGCTATGTAAGGATGGAGGTAACACCCTTGTCTTTTCCTATTTCCACCCCATGGTAAATTAGCCAACTCTTAACAGTTAAATGCTTCTAGGAGTTGGTGGATTTCTTAACAGAATCAACAGAGAAAAGGTCATTATGTGAAATCAGTGAACCATATTAAATAATTTATCATACACCTTTTAAAATCAAAGCATCTACTTAGAGATTTAATGTGTCTTGAATCTTATTTACACTAATCTTCTAATCTTTGACAAAAAATGCTTAGTTAATATACAAAACTCACAAATGTAGAAAATTCTCTATTTTAATTCTTCAGTTGAATTGAAGAAATAATCTAAAACTTAATATAAGAGAATACATGCTAAAATCTAAAAGGCATGGGGACAAAGAGAAATAAATACATTGTTAGAAAAAACAGCCAGATCACAGACCAAATATCAGTCATGGCTTCAAGAAAACAATGTTGACCATTATTAAACTTATTACTAGAACACTGAAAACGTATAGATAAATATCTGTTTTGCATTACCATGGCTGAGGCAGAAGGAATAAGAAAAAAGCCTTTGGGCTTAAAAAAAAAATCTGTCTTCTATGAAGGTCTTCTAGTATAACAGTAAAATACTGCATCATTGTTTAGAGTAGTCCCTGTCTACTTTTCATCTGTTTCATCACTCTTTATCCCTTCCTTACTATTCTCTAATAATACTTGTGGTTTTTTTAAAATCTCTCAAAGGTAACTTAAGTTTTTCTGACATTCAGTTCCTACATTTCAGATTATTCTTAATCCATCCTCCTCCACATCTTTGCTTAAATAACATCCCTGGCCCACGCCTGGACTGGCCCCCCCACCATTACACTTTACCTTCATGGCACTCGTCACCACTCGGATCACACAGGTATGTGTGCCCTCCCCTTCACTCACCTACCAGTTCCACAAGGGCAGGTGCTGTGTCTGTTCTGTCTGGCACTGTGCTCCTAGCCCCAGTATAATACATGAATTCAGTAACTATTTGTGAAATAAATCCTTCATACTCACAATCTAAAGTATCCAACTTTAAGTTCCTAGAGCTGCACTGATGTAGTGTAACATTATCATTATTACTGACATTACTTTAGCAGGACCTTGTCCAATAGCAAGTTTCATCACATTCAGTGTAGTTAAAAATAATATACTAAAAAAAAATTATGCAGTCTTGCTTAAAAGGAAAGACTATCATCACAATTAAATGTATTCTAAGTTGCAAAACTCTTATGCTTGCAAACAAAGTAGTAGCAAAATTGTAGAAAATGGCATTGCTTAGGACACCTGGCTGGCTCAGGAGGTAGAGCACACAATTCTCAGTCATGAGTTGGAGACCCATGTTGGGTATGGAACCAACTTAAAAAACAAACAAACAGAAAAAGGCATTGTTTGAGGGTGGCCTTATGAAGATGTTATTGTTTGCACTGGCGATTTATAAATAATATATATAATATGTATTACTTTCCTTAATTATTTTAAATGCATACACTAATATCAAATAAATTACCTTGCTTCTGTTCACAGTTTACAGCACAGCCTAAGATGAGTTGAAGCATCCTTCCGAGCTCTGCCGCATCAGAATGTTCTCCAATAAGGTTCACATCAGGAAGGGTAAAGTCATTAATTTGCTGTCCTAAAATCTGAATGAGGACAAAAGGATCAGAACTGCATTCACATTTATGTGTCCAAATAAAATATTTGATACAAATTAGTTTGTCAGTACCAGAAACTCATTGCTAAGGACAGAGCTATAATCCCAATTCCACTCTCAATTTCTATTTTTACCTTCCATATCTAAGTTATAACAATATTCATCACTGTAACTTAGACCCCAATCTGGTATGTATATACACTGAGCAAAGAAACTGAATACTTTGATATCTTCAACTGCCCCTAGAAAGACAAATTCTCTAAAGTTCAAAGCATAGCCAGAGAGATTCTGAATGGGGTACCAGAAAGAGGGGAGATTAAATATAGGTTCATGCCCCAACAGTAAGACGCTCCCCAGACATATTCACTCTATTTGACTCGAAAATGCTGATAGCCAAACACTTATTATCAGGAAGGAGAATGGAGGATTCCTTTACGGGGAAATTGGCCCCAAATGAAATGAAACATATGCAGACAAATGGGTCAGTCCCTGTCTAATAACCATACAGTGAAAAAAGAAAATCCTAAAGCACAGAAGCAGGATGAATATGGCTCTAGTGCTATCAGTGAGCAGGGTAAGGAGGTCATGCAGTGTCTGGTGGCTCATGGTAATAGGTATGAATCTGATTATCAATATAATGGGAAACCATAAAAGACAGAAGAATGACATAATCAAATTTATATTTTTAAAAATCATTCTGGCTTTAGAGTGAAGAATAAGAACAGATAATAGAAGGGAATGGGTGAAATCAGGGTTACCAACCAGACTACTCTAGAACTCTAAGTGAGAGCTAATGATGGCTGAGTACAAAGTGGTAGCAGTAGAGATGGAAAAAGCTGTATTTTGGAGATTTAACTAGTAGGTCTTATGATGATATCAAAAGAAGGACGGACTATAGGATTGTTTATAGGTTTTGGGCTTGAGTAACAGGATGGATGACAGGATCACTTACTGAGCTGTGAAGATAAATGATATAAGATGTAGGTATAAATGCAGGTAAACTTGTGGGAGAGAATAGTAAAAACATAACATAGGTTTCCAGGCTATGTTGTGTTCATCTGGTATCTGTGACCACAAAATTTGAAGTAAAACTAGTTCTACTTCATGATTTTTCCCCCCAAGCCATTTCTTGACTGTTCTGATGCAGACTCAGAGGATAAACTAAGATAATCTAGAGATGGGGGTTTGCCAAGGAATCAAACTAAAGCAAGCAAGGAAGTTGGCTGTAATATAATAATGCCTGGATTCTAAACCACCTTCACAAGGGGAGAAGAGAAGAGAGCTTAATAAATGGCAGAAAAGAAAGTATAACATAAATTAATAATCATCTATAAACTATCCATATATTATAGTGAAAAACAGCATTTATCTAATAACTACCTAATAGTTGTTCAAACCAACATCCTAAAAACTATAAAATGGAAGATTAACAGATTACTAATTTTGAGGTAAATTTTCCTTTACTTGGAACTATTGTAAAAGTTAAATTGTCCTATAATTCTACCTCTAAGCAGTTGAGAAAAAAGTCCTTACCTCATGATTGTAATCCAGGATTCCCTTTAAAATTTTCTTTAAATTGCTTATCTGTTTAGAGAGAGATAAAACTGGGTAAAAGCCAAGCACAGATCAAATTATAATTTAACATAAAAAATTCCTGGGGGCACCTGGGTGGCTCAGTCGGTTAAGCATCTGCCTTAGACTCAGGTCATGATATCTCAGGGTACTGGGATCAAGTTGTCTGTTAGGCTCCCTGCTCAGTGAGGAGTCTTTTCCTCTTCCTCCTCCTCTCCCTCTCCCTCTGCCCGTCCCCCCTCCTCATGCTTGTACATACTCACTTGCTCTCTCAAATAAATAAAATCTTTAAAAAAACCTTCGAGGGCAGCCCCAGTGGCACAGCGGTTTAGCACCGCCTGCAGTCCAGAGTGTGATCCTGGGGACCCTGGATCGAGTCCCACGTCAGGCTCCCTGCATGGAGCCTGCTTCTCCCTCTGCCTGTGCCTCTGCCCCCGCCCCCTGTGTCTCTATGAATAAATAAAATCTTAAAAAAAAAAAACCTTCTGAATTATTCAAATTATAAATATAAAAAATAAAATTCAACAGCACATGTGAATTACCATAATCATCAAAAAAGGACTATCAATGGCTTAATTTATGTGATCTCAAGAGATTTATTTAAAAAAAAAAACTGTTTCTGATCATGTTAAATTTTCAATGTTATGATCACACTGACAAAAATTGGGAATCTCTTAAAGTAACCTACAACATATAATGTCTCCAAATTCTCTCCACTGTCAGAAAAGACTAAAGACTGAAGACTGTTTCTTTAACCAAAGTAAATATTTAGGAGCCATACAATTAAAAATACTATTATATCTTGAAATGCTAGTGTAACTGTCAGCATTGCAAGATATTTGTTGCAGCATCCTGGGGTGCCTGGGTGGCTCAGTCGGTTGGGCGTCTGACTTTTGATCTTAGCTCAGGTCTTGATCTCAGGGTCGTGTGTCTGGGCCCCACATTCAGCTCCACACTGGGTGTGCAGCCTACTTTATTTATTTATTTTAAAAAAGATCGTATTTGGGATCCCTGGGTGGCACAGCGGTTTGGCGCCTGCCTTTGGCCCAGGGCGCGATCCTGGAGACCTGGGATCGAATCCCACGTCGGGCTCCCGGTGCATGGAGCCTGCTTCTCCCTCTGCCTGTGTCTCTGCCTCTCTCTCTCTCTCTCTCTGTGACTATCATAAATAAATAAATTGAAAAAAAAAAAAGATTGTATTTATTCGTGAGAGACACACAGAGAGAGAGGAAGAGACATAGGCAGAGGGAGGAGAGGCAGACTCCATACAGGGAGCCAATGTGGGACTTGATTCCAAGACTCCAGGATCATGCCCTGAGCTAAAGGCAGAGGCTCAACCGCTGAGCTACCCAGGCATCCCTGCAGCCTACTTAAAAAAAAAAAAAAAAAAAACGCATCCTAGAAACAAGGTGATGTTTTCTATCACTCAACCACTCCAAAGCAAGGGTTTACTGGCCTATGTGTTATCTGAGTGAAATGACCAGTAGAATCACCTATACTATTTATTTAAGCTGTTATTTTTTCCTTTTCTTTTTTTTTGACTCAACTCATAGTTAAATTTGTATTAATTAAATGTGTACGCAATATGATCCTGTTGACCATCTACCTCACTGTACCTACTCAATGTTAGTAGCTAAAGATGTGTTAGGACATAAGATGAAAAAACCTGTGACTATCAGGTAAAAGAGGCTTAATCATACATGTGATCCAGTGAATCAGACGTATTTTTTTCAGACCTTTTTAAGAAAAAAATAAGTTGAAAACTTTTTTAAAACATTATTTTTTTTTTTGAGAAAGAGACAGTGTGAGTGGTGGGGAGAAAGGGGGCCCAGCAGAAAGGGAGAGAAGCAGATTCCCTGCTGAGCATGGAGCCCAATGTGCAGATCAATCTCATGAGATCAGGACCTGAGCTGAAACCAAGAGTCAGATGCTAAAATGAGCCGCCCAGGTGCCCTAAAAACTTATTAAAAAAAAAAACATAAAGTAACATGTTTATACTTCTAGAAAATTTGGAGACATGGCAAATATATAATATACTTTGCTTTCTTTATTCTAGAATGCTCATTTTTTCATATTTTAATATTTGACATTAAAATGTCTCAAAAATCAATGTGTTGCTTTAAAATGGTAGTTTCCTTCCCATTGAAAATAGCTATATATTTTATAATTAATGGTATCTTGAGATTGGAAAAATACAACATAGGATAAAATATGGAGAACAGGAATACAAATCAGAACTGACATTTCCAGTTCTGAATATTAAGAATATGATAAAGTGGGCAGCCCTGGTGGCTCAGCGGTTCAGCGCCGCCTTCAGCCCAGAGTGTGATCCTGGACACCCAGGATCGAGTCCCTCGTCGGGCTCCCCGCACGGAGCCTGCTCCTCCCTCTGCCTGTGTCTCTGCCCCCACCCCCCCACTTTCTCTGTGTCTCTAATAAATAAATAAAATCTTCAAAAAAAATATGATACAGGGGGATCCCTGGGTGGCTCAGTGGTTGAGCACCTGCCTTGGGCCCAGGGCCTGATTCTGGAGTCCCAGGATCAATTCCCACATCAGGCTCCCTGCATGGAGCCTGCTTCTCGCTCTGCCTGTGTCTCTGCCTCTCTCTCTCTCTGTGTCTCTCATTAATAAATAAATAAAATCTTTAAGAAAAAAAATATGATACAGTATTTCCCCTTCTCTATATTACTGTCTTTGCCACACTCACGGTATTAAGACAATGTGTGTACAGATGTATGTTGTGTGTATGTAAGGTGGGGTATATACAACTCCTCCTTCAGTCAAGAGAGCAAGCAAACACAAATTAATTAGTAGCATTATTTTAAATACCCAGAACTGCTTTATACATTATAACATTAAAAAGTAATCATTAGGCACGCCTATGTGGCTTAGTCAGTTGAGTCAATGACTCTTTGATTTCGGCTCAGATCCCCACACTGAGCTCTGCATTGGGCATGGAGCCTGCTTGGCATTCTGTCTCTCCCTCTCCTTCCACCCCTCTCCCACTCTCTCTCTCTCTAAATAATAATTACATAAATATATAATCATTAAATTGCCTATTCCTTTTTTTTATTATTTTATTTATTTATTCATGAGAGACACACAGAGAGAGGCAGAGACATAGGCAGAGGGGGAAGCAAGTTTCCTGCAGGGAGCCTGATGTGGGACTCGATCCTGGGACTCCAGGATCATGACCTGAGCCGAAGGCAGATGCTCAACCACTGAGCCACCCAGGTGTCCCTAAATTGCCTATTCTTGAAAAATTATTTAGAAATTAAAACAGTAGCTTAAGGGGCACCTGGGTGATTCAGTCTGTTAAGCCCCTGCCTTTGGCTCAGGTCATGATCTCAGGGTTCTGGGATCAAGCCTCACATCATGCTCCCTGCTCAGCAGGGAGTCTGCTTCTCCCTCTGCCCCTCCCCGCTGCTCATGATCTCTGCTCTCTCTCTCTCAAATAAATAAGTGAATAAAATCTTAAAACAAAACAAATTCCAGTAGCTTAAACCAGTGTCCCTTCACTCTAGCTTAGTAAACAAAAGGAATTAAATTTTGGCAGACCCAAATTTAAGCCATCAATGACTATTTTACATCAAATATGTTTTTTGGAAGAAATATAAAGACAAACCAAGTTTAACATATCTCAAGTCTAGGGTCTTCACACGCTTACCGATTTGCATTTCTGAGTCTCTATCTCTCTGTATCAAAAAGAAATGGTTCTAGAGCTTTCCAAACTGCCAGTCATAATCATCACTGGTCATAAAAATCAATTTAGTGTAACAAAATTATAGAGTTGGAGAAAAAACTAGTGGTTTCCAGGGATTAGGGTGAGGAGTGTGTGGTGTGGAGGTGGTCATAAAGGCAGCATTGTGGAAATCTTGCAGAGATGGAACACCTCTGTCTTCATTGTGGTGAGCATTATAGGAAACTACATTATTGCTGGAGCTACACAGAACTGTACACGCAAACACAAAAGGGCAAAAGGGCACTTGATCATACCAATGTCAGTTCCTTAGTTTTGATATTGTATTATAGTCATGCAAGATGTAATCACTGGGGAAACTGGGCGAAAGGTACACAGAACTTCCCTGTACAATTTTTTGCAACCCCTTGTGAATCTAGAATTATTTCAAAATTTAAAGTTAAAATAATGTAGTGGGTTGTAACTAATATTTTTTAAAATTAAATCATCAATGAATAGAATAAGGGAAAAAACTTACTATCTATGGACATATGTTTAGGTGGACAGGAGGCTGCCATGTAAACTGTATTTCTTACTGTGGGTTTTGGCTTTCTCAAAGAAGCTTGAGAAATACTGGAACTTAAGGCTACTAAGAAGGAAATAAAAATACGTCATTCTCTTAGTGTTCTGGACTCAGTAAACAATGACCAATATTTTCTCATTATTAATAATAACAACACTAGCAACTAGCATTACCCGTGCACTATCCTAAGTCTGTTACATACGTTAATTCATTTATTATTGTGAATTATTTCACAATTCATTTATTGTGAGGTAGATCCTATTAAAATCCTCATTTTACAAATGGAGAATCTGAGGTACTGAATGGTTAGAAGACTTTCTCAGACAGTTGATATGAATCCAGGCACTCTAGCTCTAGAGTCCATGCCCGTAGTCACTGACTTCACTGACATACTACACATATCTTTGTGAGCAACTTCAGGTTACCTCCGATCTTTAATTTTGGATTATTTCACTAGGCAATCTAGGTTTCTAAAGCTCACTGAACACATCAGGTGAAAGTTCAACAAATATTATATGTAAGCTACTAAAAAACTATTTAACAGATGGGAAAATAAAAAGAAAATACCTTTAGCCTCCAATTATCTCCTACTTCGGTTTTGATTCTGTTTAGCCAATTTTCATCAAAATATGCAGGATCTCTGCAAATAAGAAAAAACTCGCATATTAATCATGCAGTTATCAAGATTTAAAAAAAAAAGAAAATTGAAACTTATCCCATAACACCACTTAATTGCAACATAAAAATGTATTTGCCATTTATCTATCACCAAATAACTCAGTCTGGAGACCGAATGCAATTACAATAGATTTCTCTAAAGTCAACCTGTTATCAGCACATCATAAAATAATACACATATTATCAAAAACTAAAAGGTGAAAAATGGTAACATATGGTTATATTTTTAAAAACAAGTTATAGATCGATAAGTTCCCCTGAATTAACATAACTTTTAGACACTATATAAAACTAGTCAAAACTGATGACAATTTTAGACAAAAGAAATATATCAAGAAAAAGGTTAACATAAGCCTCTCAGTTAATATTACAATCTCCATCACCTAATACTTTGAAAGTCACCAATAATGTTATTAAAATTTCAATTTCTTTATTTTCTTACAGATTTGAGAGAAAGTGTGAGCATGTGGGGGAGGGGTAAGGGACAGAGGTAGGAGGAGAAGGTCTTAAGCAGACTCTGGGCTCAGTGCAGAGCCCACCTTGGGGCATGATCTCACAATCTGAGCTGAAATCAAGAGTCTAACACTTAACTGACTGCACCACCCAGGTGCCCCAAAATTTCAGTTTCTTTAAATAGTATAGACCAAGAACCTATTTTCTCACATATAATACTAAGCATTAGACAAGTTGGAACATGTTTGCAAAATGCTTAAAATCTAAGATAACAGGCGCCTGGGTGGCTCAGTCAGTTGGGTGTCTGCCTTTGGCTTGGGTCATGGTCCTGGGATGGAGCCCTGCGTTGGGCTCCCTGCCCAGCAGAGAGCCTGCTTCTCCCTTTCCTAGTGCTGCTCTCCCTGTTTGTGCTGTTGCCCACTCTCTGTCAAATAAACAAAATCTTACAAAGAAACCCAAAAACTAAGATAACATTGGTATGGCCAAACTGAAACACCTATGAATCTACTTATACTTATTTTTCTTAGGAAAACCACCCAAACTACTATAAATAGAAAGAAAAAAAGAATTTTTTAGCCCAGCATGATCCTTATTTTAAGGTTTTTGAAACCAATGCTCTAAGACATTAAATTATTTGTTCAAGATCAATACTGAACACCTATGTCTGTCCTGCTTTAGCAAGTGCTAAGTGCTATGATCTTTCCATAATGCCACAACTGTCTCCATTCACCCAAAAAACATAATGGCAATGAGAGAAGTATGTTAGGAAAAAAAAAATTTACGTTTCAACTTAAACAGTCACTCAAAATGATACAATCAGTACTAAATTTTGTTCAGATCTTTAAATGAAGTAACATGCTACTTATAATTTTTAATGTTATTGTTAAAGAAAAATGTACTTGGGTATAAAATTTATGAAAAATCAATTACAACTGTTTTTTAGTTACCACTGTAGAAATCTATTACTTATTTTAAAAAATTTTTATTACTTATTTTTATTATCTCATAATTGTTTCTGAAGCTTGTATTAAATAGCTTTTAAAAATAGTTTTATTGAGGGCACCCCGGGTAGCTCAGCAGTTTAGCACTGCCTTCAGTCCAGGGCCTGATTCTGGAGATCCGGGATCAAGCCCTGCATGGAGCCTGGTTCGTTCTCTCTCTCTCTCTCTCTCTCTCTCTCTCTCTCTCTCTCTCTCTCTCCCCCCTTCATGAATAAATAAAAATCTTTAAAAAATAGTTTTATTGAGATATAATGCATATACCGTAGAACTCATCCATTTAAAGTATACAATGCAATGGGGACACCTAGGTGGATCAGCAGTTAAGCGCCTGCCTTCAGCCCAGGGCGTGATCCTGGAGTCCTGGGGTTGAGTCCCACATTAGGCTCCCTGCATGGAGCCTGCTTTCTCTCTCTGCTATGTCTCTGCCTCTCGGTCTCTCATGAATAAATAAAATCTTAAAAAAAAAAAAGTATACAATGCAATGAATTTCAGTACATTCACAGAGTTGTACAACCATAACCATGATCTAATGTTAGGACATTTCCATCTTCCCAAAAAGAAACCATTACCTATCACTCCCCATTTCCCTCTCTCTCAGCCCCTGGGAATTACTCATTGCCATTCTGTCCCATAGATTTGCCTATTATGGACATTTCATATAAATGAAATCATACACTGTGTGGTCTTTTGTCTGGTGGATTCATTCATATTATAGTATGTATCACCACTTCATTTCTTTTTATAGTTTAACAATATTCCATTTATGGATATAATACATTCTGGTTATCCATGCATTAGCTGATGTGCATTTGGGTTGTTTCCACTTTTTAGCTATTATGAATAATGATTTTTTTTTTTGTGCACTGTTTTGTGTGGACATGTTTCTTTGTGGCCCAGGAGTGTAATTGCTAGGTTCCATAATAACTCTATATTTAACATTTGAAGCAAGGCCAAACTGTTTTCCAAAGTAGCTACACCACTTTATATTCCCACCAGCAATGTATGTTGGTTCCAATTTCTCCATAGCCTTGCCAACACTTGTTATTTTCTGTCCTTTCAATTATAGCCATCCTATGTAGACGTGAAGTAGTATGTCACTGTAGTTTTGATTTACATTTCTTCATGACTAAACATGTTGAGCACTGGCCATTTATATATTCTCTTTGGAGAAAAGTCTATTCAGTCTCTGCTTATTTTAAAAAATTGGGTTGACCTTTTATTATTGAGTTCTTAAGAGCATATTCATATCTTATGGGTTTTGAGGTTTTTTTCTTCCCTTAGTATTCAAGAAAAAAAGCCCCTTCTCAGACATAAAACATGTAAATAATTTCTCACATCAGTGAGTTGTCCTTTCATTTTCTAAGAGTTTTATAGTACTAGTTCTTATACTTAGATCTATGATCCATTTGTGTATAGTATAGGGAGGGGTCTAAATTCATTCTTCTGTATGTGGATATTCATACCCATTTTATTTTTAAAACAATCCAGCTTTTTTAGTAAAAGTTCAACAAAATAATAAAAAATTAAGAGAAACTAATTTGACCAACATTGTACAAAAAGGGGAAACTTATTGGAAGATCACAGAGATATGTTATGATATTGAAGGATAACTGGGCCTCACAAAGTAGTAGAATAAGGAAAAGCTGTTAGGAATCCGGACAGTACTCTCGTTCTGTCTTTTTCTCTGTCCAACTATACCATTTCTTTCTGCAGACTGACTTTTTTCTGTTTCTCCATATACACTACTGCATACACGTTCCAAGTCTTCAACACTTCAGATCAAGCAAATCATTTAAAGACCAGCCATCATTCCATCCCAATTCTAAATTCTCAGATCATTCCAATAATCTAGCTAGAGTCTGTTATTCTTTTTTTGAAGATCTGATTAGCTTTATTAAGCGACTCATGGATCAGGCTAGCATCTGTTTTTCATCCCTAATCCAATTTATATGTGACCAAAAGGACAGAGGGCTGCGAGTAGGTCACATACAACTTTAGGAGGGAAGACTGACCACAATTGGCAGGATAAGGGTGAGTTTTCAGAGAAAGTGACTGTTGTAAAATGGGCATTCTAGGGATGCCTGGGTGACTCAGCAGTTAAGGACCTTCATTTGACCCAGGAGCATGATCCTGGAGTCCCGGGATCATCAAGTCCCACATTGGGCTCCCTGCATGGAGCCTGCTTCTCTCTCTGCCTGTATCTCTGCTTCTTTCTCTGTGTCTCTCATTAATAAATAAATAAAATCTTAAAAAAAAAAAAAGGGCATTCTACCCCCAAAAAGTGTCCTTTTTCCTTAAAACCTCATAAAAATAGAATGCAAAGAAACAATTGAGTGAATTCTACTAAAATACTAAAGAATTATAAAAATAATTCAGAAATTAGAAAATATTCAATATTTTTTGATACTTGAAATCTAAAAAAAGCATAATTATTGCAAATCAAGTGTTAGTCTTTCCAACCAAAAAAGACTCATAAGGCCGGCAATCTGAGTTTGCTGCTAAGTGGCTCATGATTACTCAAAGACAAAAGCACTGAATTTATTAGCTGAGTGGCAATTCAGGGTCTCACAGCTATAGGATACTTAAGCTTCACCAGTAAGTTTATAAACTTATAAAAAATAATGCTTTAAATGTCTAAGAAGGTACACCTGGCTGGTTTAGTCAATAGAGCATGTGACTTGATCTCGGGGTCTTAAGTTCAAGCCCCAAGTTGGGGTCAGAGTTTACTTAAAATAATTTTTTAAAATGTCTAATAAATTATATACTCTAAGAACTCCTGGGATACTTAATTTGCAATTTAGAGCAATACAAGTAAATGAACTTATAAATATCTGAATAAAATATTGCAAATCAAACGCTATAATAACAGTTTGCTTACTCCTTAAAAGATTACCATATCAAGAAAGAGCCCTGGAATGCCTGGGTGGCTCAGCAGTTAAAATGTCTGCCTTTGGCCCTGGGTCGTGATCCTGGAGTCCCCAGATCCAGTCCCACATCGGGCTCCCTGCATGGAGCCTGCTTCTCCCTCTGCCTGTGTCTCTGCCTCTCTCTCTCTCCCTGTGTCTCTCAACAATAAATAAATAAAATCTTAAAAAAAAAATTACCAAATCAAAATCTGAGAATCATGTCTGAGCTAGGAAAGGAAGACAACAAAAACCGCGCTAAGCAGCAATGGTAATATATTAGGCACTGAATCAGGCACTTTACATTCATAAGGACTTTGCAAGAGAGATATTATACCTGTTACCATTAAGGACTATCAGACTCAGAAATCAAGTAATTTTTCCCAAGTTCGATCAGATAATTAAGTAGCAGAGTTGGCAATACAATCATTTTTGTTAAAACAGATCAGTAGAGTCCGACATAAAACTGGTTCGAGCAAACAACATTAAGGTCCTATGCCTCACTATCTCCATGCTGAATAAACTAGGTCACAAGGAAAGAAAGACCAATATCATTCATGACACTGTGTTCATTAAGGGCAGGTATTTGTTCTTATTCACTCATT